TTTTTTTTTTTTTTGAATTTCAGAAGATATGCTTGTAAATTAAGAAAAATAGGGTATTCGCCGTTCCAAAAAAAAAAAAAAAATGAGGGGGTTGAATTTACATTTTTTGGGTACCCATATATTTTTGTTGAAAAAAAAAAAAAAAAAAAAAAAAAAAAAAATAAAAATATTATAAATACAATAAAAAAAATACGAGCCAAAGGTTTTTTTTTAAAAAGAAAATATTTATTTAGTATTTTCCCAGCATTCATATACCTTAAAAAAACATATCTGTTTTAAATACAGTAGAAATAGAGGATTATACTAGATAATAATTATAAAAAAAGAATACTGATAATAAAAGATAATAGATTATAAAGAAATACAGTCAACTTCCTACAAGCTAGAAAGAATGCCACATAATCAAATAACATCGCAAATAGGATCACTCAATTATAACACAATTTCAGGTTCAGCAAAATGTTGGATTAAAAAGGAAAAAAAAAATTTTATTTTTTTTAAAAAGAAATAATTTTAAACTAAAATTTAATTTAATCATTTTTTAAAAAACCCAAATTTTTTTTTAAAATCTTCCATTATTTATTAATTTAGTTTAAGGGAAAAAAACAATTTTTAATTTTTTTTCCCTTTTTATTTTTTAAAATCGGTTAAACAAAATTGTTGAAAAATTCAACAAAAGCCTGGATGGCTCAGTAGGCAGAGCGAGCGGCTGTTAACCGCTAGGTCCATGGTTCGATCCCATGTCTAGGCGATTCTTTTTGAATCAATAGCTTTAGGATCTCCCAAAAGATTTTTTTTTTTTTTTTTTTTTTTTTTTTTCTTGTCATGCGGATTGCGGCTAGGGTTTGGTTCCTCAGTCTCGCGCTCATACCAAAGGCTTCTGCCATGGCTCCTTTTTACTGATTTTTTCCAGTGTAGTTGTTTCGGTTGATTTGGAATTCCCAGCTGTTTACAAACACACAATAAAAATACTGATGACCTAATGAATCATTAAGAGTCATCTTCATTTTTATATAAAAAAAAAGCCAAGATTCTAACTATACAGTTATTGCTTTAAAATATTAAACAAATTTTATTTACCAACATGCCACTTTTTATAAACAACAAATTAGAAATAAAAAATAAATTTAAAAAAAATTATATAGTCTAAATATATTTTATTAAATATTATTTTATTTTTTTTTAAATATTAAAGTGGTTTGGGTTGAACCTTTTGAACCACCAAATTTAAATACTGGATATTGTACATTTGTCATATAAATAAAATTAGATTGGTCTCCGTCACCAGTATAATATTTCTTTAATTCGTTTTCAGTGTAATTGCAACTTGTAATAATAAATAAACCATCTGATTTTAAAATTGTTTCGACATGTTGTTTATAAAGTATTTTCATTTCGTCTCTATTTTCTGATAATGCAATGGCATCGAATGTACCTTTATCCAAAACTACATCAAAAGTTTCTTGTATATTTGATTTTGTAATATCGTCAATAAAATAATTTATAAATTCAAAATTTTCTTGATCTCTAATTTTCTTTGCTAATTCGATACCTTTTTCTGAATAATCTGAACCATGTAAATTTTTAAATCCTAATTTGGCCAATTCTATTAATGTCATTCCATTACCGCATCCTAAATCAATCATTTTTGATTCTTTATTTAATTCTGGTAATTGAGAAACTGCTTTAACCATAGTTTTAAGGCATGATTTACCAAACCAAATTTCACCTACATCGCCAGTTTCATCGAAACAATCTAATTCTCTATCATATGCGCCATCCCAACTAAAATAAAATTGTAATTATTAGTATTTGGTATTTATTATTTTGGAGCTATTAAATATTATTATAGATATAAAATCTTTTTTTTTATAAAAAAAAAAAAAATTTATATTTATTTGGTATAAAATTGAATAAATGGGGTTTAATAAATAAAAATATTACTTACTGTCCTTTAGTGCCCAAAATAGAGCTATCAAACTTCAACTTCCGCTTCAATATCACTCATTGAATTTGTATATTTTATATTTTGGTTAAAAGGAAGGGGGGTTTTTTACCGGGGGGTTTATTTTTTTTTTTTTTTAAAAAATTTTTTTTTTTTTTTTTTTTTTTTTTTTTAATCCCTTTAAAAAATTTTTTTTAATTTTTTTTTTTTTAAAAATTTTTTTTTTAATTTTTTTTATATTTTTTTTAAATTTTTAATATTTTTTTTTATTAATATTATTCCTTTTTAAAAAAAGGGTTATATAACCCCCACTTTTTTTTTTTTTTCTTTAAAAAGGGGGTAAAATTCAAAAAAAAACAAAAAAAAATTTGTATTTCATATAATTTTTTCATTAAATCTTTATATAATAAATCACATTATAATATTTCAAATACATTAATACTACTCATTTTTTTTTTTCTAATTTTTATATAAAAAGTATTTTAATAAAAAAAAAAAAAAAAAAAAAAGAAAAAAATGAGTAGTACAATTGGAAATAATCATAATCATCATAATAATGGTAATAATAAAAAACACCACCATTATAATAATAAAAACAATATGAATAATAATCATAACCATAATAATAATAATAATAATAATAACAACAATAATAATACAGATCCAGATAACCAAGGTCACAACCCAAACCAACACTATAGAAAAAACAATCACCATAACCACCACCATAGCCATAATCACCATAATCACCATAATCACCACAATAATAATGGCAATAATTCAAACTTTACATATCAACCTAAAGTTAAAAAAGAGCAACAAATTAATAATAATCAGCAACAGCAACAGTTATCACAGCAACAGCAATCACAACAAATTAATAACCAACAACAACCACAGCAAGCCCAAGATATTCAATATCACCAACAAAATGAACAAATTAATTATCAAAATGAAATTGAACAACAACAGCAACAGCAACAACAACAAAGTTTTGATAATAAATTCTTAGAGCAACAAAATCTATTATACCAAATTCAACAACAACAAATGCATCAACATTTCCTACAACAACAACAATTTAATCATAATATTTTAGATGATAATAATAGTAATGTTATTAATGGTATAAATATTAATAGTTCTATGGATGGTGTACCACAAAGAAATAGTATGAATAATAATATAAATAACAATGAACCAATTCCAAATGAAGTTTTACAATATCAATTTCATCTATTACAGCAACAACAACAACAACAACAGCAACAGCAACAGCAACAACAACAAAAAGAGCGAGCGTTTATGTTAGCACATCAAGATATCCAACAACAAAGAGTTTTTGATTTTGAAAATAGTATTAAAAAAAATAAAAATTTTGATTCACAATCCAAGTTTCCACTATCCAAGTTTTCACTATTTCAAGACTTTGGTTGGGAAAGTCCATTAGCTTTTGGCTCAAATAATAACCATTTACCAAATAATGATAATAGCATTATTAATAATATTAATACTAATAATAATATGGATAATAATAATAATAATAATAATATTGAAGATATATTTGGAATATTAAATAGAGGAAGTAAAAATGAAAATTTATTAAATGAAAATCGTAATTTTTCATATATTCAAAATGGTTCAATTCCAAACCAATTTAATAACTTTGGCCCACCAATTAATTCACCACCAATGGGATTTAATACACCACCATTCTTATCACCACCACACCACAATCTAGGTAATGTTAATTTTTCACAATTACCATCAAAAAATCCACAAGTTCATTCACCAATGCCATTTAACTTTGCACCTCCATTTGCACATCCACAGGGTATTGATAATCAACAAACAGCATTTAATCCAAATGGACCCCAGCCACCACCACATATTCTTCAATATCTTCAATTCCAACAACAACAGCAACAACAACAGATTTTACAAAGACAATTATTCCAACAACAACAACAACAACAGTTCCAACAACAGCAACAATTTCAACAATATCAAAACTATAATGAACAAGACCAAGATCAATCAAATGACGTAAATATTTTATATAGATTAAATTCATCAACAAATGGATTAAATAATAGTAGTACAAGCTTAGTTGAATCAATTTCAATGGATCAATTATCTATTCATGACAGAATTAATTCACTTTTGGATGACTCCACAGATAGCAATGTCAATTATAATTTTGACCCAACAATGATGAATCATGGTGGCTTTACAAATAATATGAACGATATTAGTATTATCGAAAATGAAGATTCAAATGAAAATACCATTCAAGCAAATTTAAATACCACAACTGCAGAAGAGAGTGACGAAGAGGAACTTGAAAAGGCCAAAAAGAAAATTGAAAAGAAGAGACCCCTATTACCAAAACCATCAGAAGAAAGAATGAAAGAAATAACATCTCATGCCTTTGATATTTTCGAAAAATCAAAATGTGATGAAAATAGGGGAAAGGGTTTATTAATACGTTTACAAAATTTAGTTTCAAAAACTTTTCCAAGTAAGTTTTCTTTAAATATTAATTTGTTCCTTTTTTCTTTAATATTAATTCTTTTTATTTAAATTATTTTTATAGATACTGGTGTTAGATTACATTTGTTTGGTTCATCTGCAAATGGTATGTCTTTAAAAAATGGTGATATAGATATTTGTATGGTAATTGATGAATCATATGGTACATCAGATACAATCATTGAAAAGTTAGCAGAAATGTTAAAAATAAATGGTTATCAAAAAATATTAGCAATTCCAACTGCAAGAGTTCCAATTGTTAAATTTAAAGATCCAAGTACAAATTTATCCTGTGATATCTGTATGAACAATCTTTTAGCAATTTATAATACCCGTTTGGTTCAAGATTATTCTAAAATTGATGAAAGAATGAAGCCATTAGTTTATGTTGTAAAGCGTTGGGCCAAAAGAAGAAAGATTAATGAACCATCATTAGGAACTTTAAGTTCATATGGCTATATTAATCTTGTTATCAGTTTCCTTCAAACACGTGATCCACCCATTTTACCATGTCTTCAAGAGTTAGCAAATGGTCCAAAAATCATCAACGGAAAAGAATATGGCGAATTATTAGATGATGTCATGGTCGATGGTTTCAATTGTAAATATTATAACGATATCTCTAAATTAATTGGTTTTGGTTTACAAAATAAAGAATCATTGGGCAGCTTAGTTTTTCACTTTTTCCAAACTTACAGTCGTGAATTTAGTTTTATGAATCAAGTCGTTAGCATTCGTAATGGCTCACCAATATTAAAATCTTCAAAGACATGGGAATCAATATCCAAGAAAAGCCATTATTGGTTCAGTATAGAAGATCCATTTGAAATTACACACAATTTAGCCAGAGTTGTCAACAGACCAAATTTATCTATTATCATTTCAGAATTAAATAGAGCTTATAAACTATTATCAAAGAATTCAAATTTACACAAAGTTTTAAGAGAATATCATAATGAAGAATAATAACAAATAAAAGCAACAATTAATATTAATAGTTCATTCTAAAATATTAATTAAACAAATAAACAATATGTATAAAAATAATGAAATTAATAAATTACTAAAATAATATGTTTTTTTTAAAATTTAAAAAAATAAAAAAAAAAACTAAGATTAATAGTTTTATAGTTTATGTTTTATTATTTTATTTAATTTTAATCTGAATGTGGATGATTTGTATTTGTTGGTTGGGTGTTTGAGGATTTTAATGATGAGTAAAACCCAAGTGCCCAAAATAAAGTTAAAATTAATAGGACAAAAGAAGAAACAAAATTAAAAAGTTTTGGGTTTGTGAATTGTAAAAACCATAATATGCTTAAAAAGAGACCAGTAAAAAAGAAAAGAGTTTTTGTACATAACCATGTGAATGTGGAGTCCCCATTATGTCCATTATAGCCTGAATAGTTTGGATCATTTGAAACTTGATCTGGAGTTAATTGATCCTTTATTAAACAATGTATACAGGCTGGATTGATCCCGTTTAATAAATTTAAATGTGATCCTAATGTATGTGAGTCAATCATTGCTCTGCCATTATATATAAATAAGATTCTTTTGTTTAATTCTATTTCTTTTGGATAAAACTATATAAAATAATATTAGGTTTTGATTAGTATAAAAATATATTTTATTGTATGGTATTTTTTTTTAAATCCCTACATATTTCTTTAAATCATAAACTTTCAATATTTTTGAGGTTCTGAATGTTCTGTGATGAATTTTTTCATTTTGAATAATATTAATTTTGATTAAATCTTGAATATCTGAGGAAAAATTTTCTTGAAATGGTTCACTTTCTGTTTGATTCTCTTGAATTGGTTCATTTGAATTATTTGTGGCACTATTATTTGTGTTATTAATATTATTATTTACATTACTATTGCTATTATTTACATTTGAGTCATTATTTATAGTACTGGTATTACTACGTCTACTAAAAATTGAAAGAAAATGATTATTTCTCCAGAAAAAAAATGATATAAACGATACAATAACACAAGCAAATACTATGGAGTCAAAATTTTGGTGTGTATTATCTTTTACAGATTCCATTTTTTAAAATTATGTTTTTTTTAAAAAGAATGAAAAAAAAAAGTATAATATTATATAAGATTGTTTTTTATTGCTTTTATTTTATTATTTATATTTATTTATTGTATATATATATGTGTGTGTTTATAATTATAATATATTTATAATTATAAAGACACCACTTATTAAAAGAAAAAAAAATTTTAAAAAAATTAATTTTTTTTTTTTAATTTTTTTTAATTTTTTTAATTTTTTTTTTTTTTTGTTTTTATTATTTATTTATAAATTTAATTAAATAGATTTTTCTAATATTTATTCAAATTAAATAAAATTTATCCAAAAAAAGTTTTCGAATTTTAAAATTTCATTCTTTATAAAAATAAATAAAAAAAGCAATCCTTTGTATCCTGAATCAAAATTTAAATATTCAACACAATGATGCATTTACAAACTACAGAATAAATCCAATTTAATTAAAGGTAAGCCTATTCTAAATTTATTATAATTAATGATAATCTTTCATATAAAAAAAAAAAAAGAGATTAGTTTAAAATAGTTATAATTTATTTAAAAAAGAAATTATAAAACACACACAAACAAATCCAATATTTTTTTTTTTTTAAATAATTAATTTTTATTAAATTTTTTTTTTTTTTTTAAAATTATTTATTTTTAAATTACAATAATATTTTTTTTTATTATTATTTATACAAATTTTATTTATATACAACATTTAGGAAAAAAACTAATACAGTTTTATTTTGTTTTTTATTTTTTAAAATAAAATAAATTTATAGTAATAATAAATAGACATTCCAACAGATAGCAACAATAACATTTTTTCATAGTTGTGATTTACAGCAAACAAAAATCTTATAAAAGCAAAAAAAAAAAGATATTAGTTTTATTTTATTTTATTTTTTTTTTTAATTTTTTTTTCTGTCAAAATATTTTTATTTTTTTTTTTTTTTTTTTTTATTTTTTTATATTTTTTTATTTAAAATTTTCAACTGACTCGCCAACTAAGAAACCAACAGTTACACTATCACCAAAAAAACAATCACAAGACAACAGTTTCATATAATAATCAAAATAGGAATAATAACAATAAATTTAAAAAAAATAAATAAAGAGAATAAATAAAAATTATAGATATGACATCAGAACAATCAGTACAATTAAATTCAAATGATTCAAATTTAATTGAAATTGAAAATATAAATAATAATATAGATAATATTGATGATAATGTTGATAAACCACTTTTAAATTATAATTCAGATAATAGTAATAATAATTCAGAAAATAAATATATAGATATTGAAGAATCATATGTAACATGTAAAGTAGAGCAAATCAGTTTAAATGAAATTTCTGAAAAACAATTACAAATAGAATCTGAAATAAAAGAAGAGGAAGAAAAGGAAAATGGTCAATATAATCAAGCCTCTGGAGAAATAAAAGAAAATGAAGAAACAAGAGAATTAAATCAATTTAACGAAAGCAATGTTAACTTTTTAGAGGTTTTAAAACAAGAATTAGTAAATTTTATATTTTTACAAGTCGGAGCATTAGATATGCCATCATTAATAGGGGTCAACAGGCAATGTTATAAAATTGGTATGAATGAAAAGCTATGGTTATATTTTGTAGAGAAAGATTTCAATGTAGATATTCATGAAATTCATCAACTTATTAGATTGAATGGTGGGGTACGTTCGTTATATGCCAATTTATATTTCAAAAGAAAGAATAGTATTATAAAACCATCATCACCCAATCCTTTAATCAAATACTTTTTAAAACCAATTTCTAAATTACCCAACTTATTCACGAGAAGAGAATTTAAAACATTGATGTATGGTTTAGATGGTGTCGGTAAAACCACAATGTTATACAAGTTTGCGCGTGGTGAAAATGTTAGAACTCTTCATACCAATGGTTATAATGTAGAGGTTGTCGAATACAAGTCATGCGATTTCATTTGTTGGGATATCGGCTTTGAGCAAAACCCAATTGTACCGGTATGGCATCACTACCTTCAAGATACTCAAGCCATTATTTTCATTATAGATTCAACTGATCGTGTTAGAATTAGACAAGTTCGTGAAGAATTTTGGAAACTGGTTACTGATAAAAATGTCGAAAAAATTGTCAATAACTTTAAACCTCCAAATCAAGAACATTATAAAGTTAAAGTTTTAGTATATTTAAATAAATTGGATCAATCTACATTAACCCCAATGACAACTTTAGAAATTACTCAAGCATTATCATTATTTAATTTACCAAATAATATTTCTTGGCATGTTCAAGTAAGTAAATTCTATTTTAAAAGAAAAAAAAAAAAAATATTAATAGATCTTTCTTTTTAATTTATAATAGGGTTGTTCAGCAATTTCGGAAGAAGGTGATGGTTTATATGAAGGATTGGATTGGTTAAGTTCTCAATTTGATTCATAAATAAAAAAAAAAAAATTAAATAAAAAAATATTAAATAAAAATTAGTTTAAAGAAATATAGGGATATGTATCTCTATGTTTTATTTATTTTATTTTTTATAGTAATATTTGTTTTTTTATAAAAATTATTTTTGAAAAAATTAATTATTTTCACAAAAATAATAAATTATTTTTTTTTTTGATTAATTTTTTTTAAAATTTCAAAAAATAATATTTTTTTATTTTTTTTTATTTTTTAAAACACTTGAATAAATAATGGAAGGAAATAAAAAATCACCAACGGTTACAAATATATTTATATTTACATTGTATTTTGTTATTGTATTATCAGTTGGTTGTTTTTTATTTTTTAATGGCTTCTTATTAATGAGGTACGAATTACCTTTAAAGAGCCAATGTAATCAATCACCATTACCCAACCAACTATCAGATATAAATGGATGCTGGATGAATAAGACATTCAACAAGGCGGTTATTATAGTTATAGATGCATTACGATACGATTTTTTAGAAGAGCAACCAGTAAATGACAGTAAAACATCCATTTATTTCCACAATAGATTACCATCCATTCAGAAATTAATAAAAGATAAACCAGATAACACATTGTTTTTTAAATTTGTTGCAGATTCACCAACAGTAACAATGCAAAGAATTAAGGGTATCACAACAGGATCATTACCTACATTCATCGATGTTGGTTCGAATTTCGGTGGGGAAGCTATAGTCGAAGATACTCTAGTTAACCAATTGGTTTTTAAAGATTCAAATAAAGAGAAAGGAATCGATAATTTAAGGAATAAAGTTATTTTTATAGGTGATGATACATGGGTATCACTGTTCCCGAATCATTTTTATCAAGAGTATCCCTATCCTTCGTTTAATGTTAAAGATATTGATACTGTGGATAATGGTGTATTAAAACATTTGCTACCAACAATTACTCAGATAGATGGTGAATGGGATGTTGCAATTTCGCATTTATTAGGTGTTGATCATGTTGGCCATACTTTTGGTCCTGATCATCCAGAAATGATTAGAAAAATGAAACAAATGGACGAATTTTTAATATCTGTAAGTAATTATTATATATAGATATTTAATTTAGTTTTAAAATAATAAAATTTATTTATAATTCTCTTATTTTTCTTTCTGCAGATTATAGATAATATTAAAAACGATACATTATTTATCTTAATGGGCGATCATGGTATGACAAGCGATGGCAATCATGGAGGTGCATCAATATTAGAAACAGACGCAGCATTGTTAATGTTTTCACCAAGTATCAGGTTAAATAATAGTAAAGATATACCCAAAGAAATTTTAAAATCAAGACTATCATCGGTACCTTTAGATCATTATAACAGTCATATTCCACGTGATATTAGCCAAATAGATTTGGTTTCTACACTATCGTTATTACTTGGTGTCCCAATACCGTTTGGTAATTTAGGAAGTATTATCCCCGAAGTTTTCTATAGCAGCGTTAATAGCAATAATAAGCAAGATCATTGGGATAATTTATTTAATGCATTAAGAATAAACACTTTTCAAATTAAAAGATATATGGAGTCATATTCAAATATTTCAAAAGATTTCCCAAAATATAAACTTAATCATTTTAAACAACTTTTAGATAAAACAGAATCACTCTATGATCAATATATAAATAATAAAAATCAAATAGATCCAGCAAAGGTGTATAATAGTTATATTCAATATCATCAAGAAATTATCGAACTATGTAGAGATATTTGGGCAACTTTTGATTTGTTCTCTATGAACTGTGGTATTCTTATTATTCTTTTATCTGGTATTTTAATATTGGTATTTATAGTTAAAATAATGAATTACAATCAAGTTTTGCAATTCCCATATAAAAGAGTTTTAGTTTCAAGTATTTTTGGGCTTCTTTTATCGCTTCCAATAAATTTTATGTTTAATCCAAATGAAGCTCTAACCTATACAATTATAACAATCTTTTCAATTTTTGGTTTTATTTATTATTTAATTAAAGATTTAAAATCAACAACAACAACACCAAAATCAGTCATACCGACTACAGAAACTTCAGCATCAAAAAAAACAACTAAAAGCCTAATAATTTATTTTTTCACATTAATAATTCCATTAATAACCTTTATATTGCATGGTATATCATACACATCAAATAGCTTTACAGAGGCTCAGCATAATGTAGTTTATTATTTTGAAATTAGCAATATTGTTTTAACATGTATCAACTTAATTTATCATCAACCAAACTGGACTAAAAAGGATAGTCTCCTAGTATTTATAACACTGTTTTCAATGTTTTTAACCTCGCCTACAATCTGGAATGTAAAGATCTCAATTATATTCGAATACTTTAATCCGACACCAACATCGGTGTTTATTGAAAACCAATTAAAATTAACAATTCTAGAAAATTTAATAGAATCATTTTGGGTATTACCAATTATATATTTTATATGGAAAAGAATTTTTAAAGAGACCAATATTAAATCTTCAAAATCACCAATCATTCATCACATATTCCTGGTTATAATTTTAATTTCAATTACAATCTTTTGGTTTTTTATCCAACCTTTGGTTTCAAATGGTGTTCAGCTACATTGGTTACTAAAGAATATCTTCCCATTAATAGTCTATTCACTGTCAATTATTGGTGTATTTCATTCAATAAGTCCAAGCAATAGGCAAACACAACCCAATAATGATTATTTAATTATAGAATCACTATTTAAAAGATTGGTTTATATTTCGCTATATTTCTATTTAGTTATACTCTTATTATTAGGCATAGATAATTCAAGGGCAACTTTATTAATGCTTATTCAAATTATCTCGATTATCTTATTATTATCAAAAATCTACAATTCATATAATGGTATCAATAATAATGATAGTTTTAATAGAAAGTTATTCAAATATTATTTCAATTTTATAGTTTCGATTTTGTTTGGATTCTTATCAATAAATCATTTTTTTACAAGTAACCACGAACACTCATTTAGCAAAATTCAATTCGAAAGTGCTTTTATCGGCTTTGATGAGCATTTTTATCTAAGAGATGGGGTTTTAGTTATATTAAATACATTTTCAGCGCCTATAATAATAACATTATCATTACCAATTTTATTAATTTATTCAAAATATTTTGTTTTTTATAAAAAGAAACCATCTGCCACAGAAAGAAACCCAGAATTTAAATCTTATCAAAACCTAAACGAATTTTTAATATGCTTCTTAATACTATTACTGTTTTATTGGTTTAATACTTTACTTGTTTCCATCTCAGTTTATACTCTTAGAAGACACTTAATGGTATGGCGTGTATTCTGTCCCAAATACATCTTTGAAACAGTTCAACTATTAGTTGTCTCAGTATTTTTAACCTTGCTATCTCTTATAATTTATTGGATACACAAATCAAATTTAAAAAACAAAATAATAAAAATATATTAAAGTTTATATAAATATATTTAAATTCAATTTTTTTTTAAAACACAAACTATAATTTATCTTTGAATTATAGAGAATTAATTGACAAAATAATTATAATAACTATATAAAAAAGAGAAAATAAACTACTAACAATATTGTAATTCACTTAATTTGAATTGCTTTGTGTTTAATAGAATACTATTTCAACCAAATTGACAATTTTTATCATAGCCTCGTCAAAACACTTATAAAAATACAATTAGCTCCACAATCCTTTCTATCTCTAGCAAAAAATTTTCTATAACTATTAGTAGCTTAAAATTTTATGTGACTAATCCTTAAAGCTTCCTTCCAGTTGAATGAAAAAACAACTTTAGCCCAAAATATCTACTGAAATCAAGATGGTTTGATAATTGGAATAAAAATATTAAACTTGGTTTACAGTATTTGAGATTTATAAAGAGAAATCTGTATGCGTTAAAATTTATAATAACTCAATCTATAATAACAGTAGAAACACACAATATTTCTTTAAGTATTTAAAATTTTATATATTTTCTATTATCATTTTTCACATTTGAAAATTTGAATGGTTTAATATTTTTAAAATAAAAATTATAAAATATTGCAAATCTATAATTGATTTAATTTTGATAATTTTTTTGTAAAATTAACACCAAAACTAATTATAATCACTTTTTTTTTAAAAAAAAAACTAAAATTTTTAAATTATTTCACTCAGCAATCTTTTTGACAAACATGATGTTAAGTTTTTCATGGTTGGCCCTAAAGCCGCTGGTAAAACTACCATTATGAAACAATTCAAATTAGGTGAAGTAAGCATTGTTAAAAAAAAAATTAAACTATAATTTTTACTGACAACACCTCGAACCACTTTTTTTTTTTTTATATGAAAAAAAATAAAAAATTACATATAAAAAAAAAAAAAGTGGTTCGAGGTGAATTGTCTATTTTGTAATTTTTAGATTGTTACCAAAGCTCCAAATCGAAACTAGTAAGTTAATAATTATTAAAACAAAAAGAAATTTGAATTTTAATTATAAAAATTTCAATATGAGAATAAAATTTAATTCATTCCGTATTTATATAAATTTTAATTTTTAAATAATTTTAGTAGAGATTAAAAATTATCGTTATCGTTTATCGTTTTTTGGATCATCAGGAAGATTTTATCCAAAAAATAATTTTTTTTTTAAAAAAGATAAAAATAGATAATGAAAAATAAAAAAAAAGATAAAAAAAGGATAATAATTTTTAAAATAATAAAATATTTTAAAAAAAAAAAAAAATTTTATGAAAATATATTAAGGTTTTTATTATTTGATTGTTTTTTTTTTTCAAAAAAAAACAAAAATTTAACTTTTTAATGAATTTATTTATTTTTTTATAATACAAAAATTTATTTGATTGTTTTTTTATAATATAAATATTTATTTAATAATTTTTTTATATGTAGTGTTAAATTTATTTTTAATTTTAAATATTGCGCTTTATCAAATAACTGCCATAATATTTATTTATATATGTTTTAAATTAATAAATCTTTGATGTTATTAATATATAATTAAAAATATTTTTTGTTTTTAAATTTAAATATTGTGCTTTTCAAATAACTGCCATAATATTTATTTAATTATATTTTTAAATGTTTTAAATTAATAAATCTTTAATATTATTTATATATAATTAAAAATATTTTTTGTTAAATTTATTTTGAATATTGCACATAACTGTCATAATATTTATTTAATTGCATCACAATTTTTTTATTTATTATTATATTTTTTGAATTAATTATATTATTCAAAAAAAATTTAAAAATAAAAAATATGTGCATGTTTCTGCTGTTATTTTGGTCAACCAACAAATTTTATAAAATGAATAAAAATGAATAATTTTTTAAAAAAAAGCTAAAAAAAGAGATAATTTTTGTTAAAAAAATCGAAAAATGAATACGATAACGATAATCGGTAAAAAGTGAGGATAACGATAATTTTTAATCTCTATTATAAATATAGATATAAAATAGACCCAAAAAATAACTAGATTGCATCAACATTAGGTTTTTTGAATTTTTTTATAACAATTTTATTTTATTTTTTTTTTATCTTTTTTTATTATCCACTTTTATCTATTTTTAATTTTTTTTGAAAAAAAAGTCATTTTTGGATAATTTCTTCCCGGTTATTTAAAAGATAAACGCAAACGATAATGATTCTATTTTTACCTACAAAAGATTACTCAATTTTTTTTAACACACCGTGGTTGCGCGAAATATTAAAAAAAGATTCTATTTTTACTCACAAAAGATATTTCAATTTTTTAACACTCTGTGGTTAAAAAAAATATTAAAAAAGATTAAAAATTAAATAATAAATATGAACTAAAATTAGTTTAAAAATGTTATAAAAAATAAAAATTATATTGTACGAACTTGTCACATCGCTTTAAAATGAGAAAGTTTGCGCAAATTTGTCATAAAAAAAAAATTTTGTTATAACAAAATTGATGGAGAAAAAAAAAAAAATGCATATTTACCATTTTTTACAATAAAATTAAAAAAAATTTTCAATTTTTTATTGTATTTTATTAAATAAAAAATGAAAAAAATAATTATTTGTATTTTCTTTATATTTTTTATTTCTAAAATTTATTCACAAAAACAAAGTAATTATTATTCATAAAAATTATTTTATTACTTTTGCTAATATATTTTTATAGCATTGGTTTATTACAACAGAACATATATAGAGTTTGACACAAAATATGTGCGAACAGCCAATTTTACTTTATACGATGATCTTATGTGCAAAAATAAAAAGGAGACTTATACACCCATATGCAACAGTGAAAAATGTGTTATTGAATTGAATGAAAATCAAATAAAAAATTTTTATGGGAATTGTATTGAAAGATGTATAGTTGCAATCAATGGTAATAGTTTTTGTAATCAACCAATTGACGCTGATAACTACATGTTTCCAATAAATTATGCTCTCTCTGCATTACCATCAACTGAGGGTGGTAAACTTCAACTTACTGGTAATTATTTAAGAAATTATGTTGATGATTATTACATAGTAGAAGGGGCTATTAAAGGAAAACAATTGAAATTTAGTGTTGATAAAGAGAATTACGACCCTGAAAATTTAACTGTAAACTTCCCACCTGGTTATGGAACTTTTAGATTGTATCCTGATTCTTCTCAAAGTAGTACAATAATGTATATAGGCTATGCTCCTCCTTATATTTCTCAGTGTAATTATAAAGACTCAACAATCACTTTAAATGGTTTGAATTTTTATAATAATCCCTCAGTTGCCCAGGTTACTGTAAATAATGTAAATACACCAATTGTTTCAATAGATCATCGTTTATTAAAACTAAATTATGTTACTGATTATTCTCAAAAATTAAATGTAAATGTAACCATTGGGGATATTTCATTAGAAAATATATATACATTTGATATTAAACCACAACCAGTATCGATTAGTACAACTGTATCAACTTCAAAATATAATAGTGGTATAGTTACAATATCTGGAAGTTATATGTCATCACCTCAAGCACAAACTTAACCTTAATCAGTGACGATAATAAAAACTATAATTGTGAATATATATCATCAACAACATCTCAAATCGTTTGTTTATTAGAACCTGGTGAAGGATTAATAAATAAAATAAAAGCTAAAATAGATTATGTTGAAAGTACAACTGAAATAAAATTTAAATATGGAGTGCCTCATTTTACATCAACAAATGCAATCCAAATTGATAGAACAAATGAATTTTCAATAACTGGTATTAACTTTGGTAATATTAACGATACTAATGGAACAGTTATACTAAATATAGATGGAAAAGTAAATAATGATATTATAACTACATCAATAAGTAATGATGAAACTAAATTATCATTTAAATTACCAAATATATGTGAAACATCTGTAAAACTATCAATTGAAGTTAATGGTGTTATTTCAAATAATAATGTAACAATAACACCACAACCTACATTTATATTAGCTCCATCAAGACCATTAACAAATGGATCATCATTATATATTGACAAATACTTTTCATGTAAAGAGACTATTACCAAACCATCTATTACAGTTGGTAACTCTAATAATCATATCTATTGCACATTAATTTCAAATACTGAAACAAGTTGTAATGTCGGTGCTGGAACTGGTAAACATTCATTTAAATTTTATGTTGATGGTATTGAAAAAATCAATTCATTTTTTGAATATGCACCACCAACACTTGTATCACATAATGTTAATGGATTAAAAACAATTACCTTAACTGGTTATAACTTTGGTAATGATTCATCAAAATGTAATTTAATATTTGCAAAAAAAAATGTAACATGTAAAGTTATCAGTGATACAACTATAACATTCGATGCAAATTCACAATATGATTATGGCAATGTTAATCTTATAATCGATAGTATTCCAATGTTAAATGAAAACTATAAAATAATGTTATCATCAATAATTGGATTGGTAAAAGATAAAAATATTTCAACAAGAAATGGAACAGTGTGTATAAGTGGTTCAAGATTACCTGAAACTAAATCTAGTGTCAACAATTTAAATAATGTTACAATTGAAATTAAATCACATTTAAAAGGCGGTTCAAATACATTTAAAGATTATAATGTTTCAAATAATATGATTTGTATATTATTAAAAGATGGATATGTTGGTACATTTGATTTATCAGTGTTCATCTATAATGAATTCATTTCAAAATATACAATATCATATAATAAACCATCATTTAATAATAGTTTAATTAATATTAAAGATGGTGGTAATAATAATTATCAGCTTGAAGTATATGGTAATGAATTCGGGGAACCATTTGAAATTCATTTTAATACATCAAAAGGTGATTTAATAATGAACTGTACATTCAATATATCAATTCAACACAATAATAATGATATATACAATTGTAGTTATTCAAAAATCAATATTGATTCAATTAAAGATGGTAATGAACAATTATACTTAAAAATCGGTGAATCTAAATATCCAATCAATTCAACATTAAAATTTGAAAACAAAAAGTCTAATAACAAAAGTAGTACATTGAAGAAAGCATTAATTCCAACATTTGTTGGTGGTGCCGCATTGTGTGCTGCTGCATTTATTGGTTATAAATATAGAGAAAATATATTTAAAAAAATTGATAAACTAAAAAATGGTAAATCAAATGTATAATTATAAAATAAAATTATTAAAACTAAATGGTTTATTAAATTAAAAATAAACAACTCAATAAATTATATTAATTCTGTAACAAACAGGATCTTCCTAATGCCAAAAACTCTCATGTGGTCAATGATACACTTCTTCTCAGCACTATCTATAATAGAAAATGGCACATCCAATCAACATGTGCCACCACCGGTGAAGGTCTTTATGAAGGTAATTTTTAATAATATATTTAAAATTATAAAATTTAATTCATTTTTATTAACCAACATTTTTTCTTTAATAAGGTTTTAAATGGTTAAGTGAAGCTTTATATGGACCTAAGTTTGAATAGTTTAATTCCTTGATGTGGTTTTTTAATTGATTAGTTTCAAATTTAATAAATTTTATAAATTTTTAATTGTAATGGATTCATTAAAACAAATAGTTATAATTTTTTTCTTTATTTATTTTGTTTTTTATATTTATTATATTTGTGAATTGTTACCCATTTCCAAACTTAGTAATTATTGGTATTATAGGTTCTGTTTCTGGTGAACCAGGTGCACCATTTTTGATACATTTGTGGGGGTATTATTTCTTTATTTAATGGTTGTTTTATCTGCTAGTCACATTTATTAACTTTATAAATGCTAAATATTTCTTGATATTTTTAAATGGCAAATAATAATACTTGATATTTTATATGATCCATATTATTTGATATTTTTTAAATGCTAAATAATACTCGATATTTGTATGATCCATATTACTTGATATTTTTTATGCTAAATAATAGTTTTGATATTTGTATGATCTATAATACTTGTTATTTTTTAATGATTTTCCTTAATATTTGATATTTTTTTTTAATATCACACTGCATTTTCCAAAATATTTGATATATTTTTAATGTTACACAATACTTAATATTTTTTAATGATCCAAAATACTTAATCAATGTTTTATTTACTTATATATTATATTATAATTGATTTTTTTTTTTTATTATCACACTGCATTTTCCAAAATATTTGATATTTTTTATTATCACACTGCATTTTCCAAAATATTTATTTATATTATTTTTTTTTTCTTTTTTTTTTTTTAATGATATGCTTTAATAGTCTAAAATAATTATTTTGATCCAATAAAAAGATAGCTTTAAAGCTAAAAAATCTTTTATATGTCTTTATGCTAAAAAATCCTCGATAGCTTTAATGCTAAAAATCCTCGATAGTTTTAATGCTAAAAATTCTCGATATTTTTTGATAATATTTTTAATTATTTTTTATTTTTTATACTATTGGCCACTCTTTGTAAAGAGTGTTTCCAGCTCTAGGTTAGTATATTAGAGCCGAATGGTTAATTATGTATCCCACCACGCAGAATACATAATTAACCACCATATTGATAATAGTGTGAAGTGAAGTGTAGTGTGTGTGTGTGTTTTTTTTGTGGTTAATTATGTATCCCACCACGCAGGATACATAATTAACCATATTGATAATAGTGTGAAGTGAAGTGTAGTGTGTGTTTTTTTTTTTGTGGTTAATTATGTATCCCACCACGCAGAATACATAACTAACCACCATATTGATAATAGTGTGAAGTGAAGTGTAGTGTGAAGTGAAGTGTAGTGTGTTTTTTTTTTTTTTTTTTTTATATATTAAATTTTTTTTTTTTTTTTTTTTTTTTTTTTTTTTTTTTTTTTTTTTTTAAATTGGAATTCCCCGGGGGGGGGAAAAGGAAAAAAAAAAATTTTATGAAATTTTTTTTTTTAATAACCTTTTTGTTTTTTTTAAAAAAAAAAAAAAAAAAAAAAATTTTTATTTTAAAATTAATTAATTAATTAATCTATAACTATTTCCTAATTTATTTAAACATCAATTCCAAAATAAGTAAAATTTATATTGCAAAAAAAAATGTACATCTGCTACAATCAAAATTGGTAATAATTTGAAACAGGGGAGGTTTTTTTTTTTCAAAATTTTTTATTTTTCAAATAAAATAAACACATCTTCCTTTTAAAGAAATCATTTTCCATTTATATTATTTTATTATAATTAATTTTATAATGTTTTGTAAAAAAGGAATAAAGTAAGAATTTGGTAGTTCATTATATGATAATCAAATTGGTATGATAGCTGAATGAAAAAAAAAAAAAAAAAAAAAAAAATTTATTTAATTTTTTTTTAAATTTTTAACTTTTTTTTATTTTTTTTTAATTATGCAAATTTTTGTTAAAACACTTACTGGTAAGACCATTACCCTTGAGGTAGAAGGCTCAGATACCATTGAAAACGTTAAAACTAAAATCCAAGACAAAGAAGGTATCCCACCAGACCAACAACGTCTCATTTTTGCTGGTAAACAATTAGAAGATGGTCGTACTCTTTCTCATTGCAATGAGTGCTTTTTTTAAATTTTTTTTTTTTTTAAATTTTGAATTTTATTAATTAATATTTTTATTTTCCTTTTCAAAAACCTTCACAAAACCATATTGATAAATCTAATATTATGGTGCTATTTTTCACTTGTGTTGATGCTTATATGAGCAGGTTGATCTCTTTCGTACATCACCATTAATCTAAAAATATAATATTATTTTCTTTTTTAATTAATAAAAACCTCAACCAATGCAAAAAAGTCGAATTATTGTTTTTTTATTTTTGATTATCCATTTTTTTCGTTTTTTATAAAATCTTCCAGATAGTCCAAAAAAGATAAACGATAACGATAATTTTTAATCACTACTTTTTTCCTCTTTTTCTTTTCTTTCTTTCAAATTTCTCTTTTTCTAATTTTTCTTTTTCTTTTTCTTTTTCTTTTTATATAGATGATCAATAAATAATGTATATAGCATAAATAAAAATAATAACCAAATAACAATAATGACAAACTATTATATATTGAACATATAAAAGAAATTTTATTAAATCCTAATGATACATTTTAGATTAAGGGAAAAATAAATTAAAATCTTAATAAATATTTTTTTTTTTAAAATAAACTAATAAACCTTTTAATACTAAAATAAAATTTAAATGAAATACTATTTAATATTCCAAAAACTCTTATTTTTTTTTTTTTTTAATTATTGTTTTTTTTAATCAAAATTATTTTATCTTATTGGATTTTATTATGAAATAAATTTCAAAATAAAACATTAACAAAAATTCAATAAGGTAGGTTTAATACTATTGCCATTAGTCCACTTATTAGGTTATCACAAATAAATAAATAATTGGTAAATATAAAAAAAAAAAAAAAAATTTTAAAAAAAATAAAATAATTTTTTTTATTTTTTATTTTTTTAAATTTAAATAATTTTCATATTTTTTTTATTTACAAACGAAAAATGGCATCAAGCAATACACCACTTAAACTAATTGTTGATGACCAACCTTCAAACTCTATATCTAAAAAAACATCAGTTGCAAACCTTAGTTATAGATTTATGCAAAATAATGATATTACAATTGGTGATATAATTTATATAGTCTCAGTTAATAATAAAGATAATATTAGTAATACTAATAATAAATCTGATGAATTACCATGGGAATATTTTAATAATAATAATGATAATAATGATAATAGTGAAAATGACTGTTATTGTTCAATAATGACAGCATGGCCATCACAAAAATTATCACATACTCATATACAATTAGATTCAATTCAAAGAGAAAATTGCAATGTTAAAATTGGTGATTCAGTCTATTTATATAAAACACCACATCAAATTATAAACATAGAGTCATCAAATAAACCAACTACAGTAAATTTAGATTGCGACGAAATTCAAATTCAATGCGAAACTCCATCTCATCAAAAATATGTTTCGCAACTATTTTCATTTGGAATGCTCCAACCATTAGTTCTATCACAAATAACTGGTAGATTTTTTATAAAAAATAATATATTTACAATTAATATTAGTAATAATTTAATAAAATTTAAAATAATCAATTTAATAAATAATAATTATAATAGTAATAGCAATAGTAATAATAAAAAAAATGATGATAATGATTTAAATATAGATTTTAATAAATTAAATTTAAATGATAGCGATAATAATAATAATAATAATAAAGATTTTATAAAATCAATTTTTAGAATATATAATAAAACAAATATTAAATTAATAAATCAAAAAAATACAATTAATAATAATACTAATAATAATAATGTTAACAATAATAATAATAATATAAAAAATAAAGATTTAAATTATGAATTAATTGGTGGTTTAGATAATCAAGTTAAACAAATTAGAGAAATTATTGAATTATCATTTTATAAATCAAAATTATTAAATTCATTTGGAATTAAACCACCCAAAGGTATTTTATTATATGGTCCACCAGGTACAGGTAAAACATTATTAGCAAGAATTGTATCAAATCAAACCAATGCAACACTTTTTACAATCAATGGTGCTGATATTTTAGATAAATTCTATGGTATGACTGAGAAAACACTTTTAAATATTTTTAAAGAAGCAAGTCGAAAAGCGCCATCAATTATTTTTATTGATGAATTAGATGCACTATGTCCAAAACGTGAAGAAAATAGTAGTGAAGTAGAAAAACGTGTTGTTGGGTCATTATTAACATTAATGGATGGTATAGCAATTGGTGGCGGTAATGAAGAAAATGAAGAAGAAAATGAAAATAAAAATAAAGTTATAGTTATTGGTTGCACAAATAGACCTGATAGTATAGATTCAGCATTACGTAGACCAGGTAGATTTGATAATGAAATCGAAATATCCATACCAAATCAACAAGGTAGAGAACAAATTTTAAAAATTTTCCTTTCAAAGATTCCAAATCAACTAAATGAAAAAGAAATCAACTTTATTTCATCAAAAACCCATGGTTTTGTAGGTGCAGATATAGAATCATTATGTAAAGAAGCATCATTAAAATGTTTTAATCGTATAAAAAATGAAAATTTATCATTATTTTTAAACAATGAAAATAATAATGGATTAAATTCAATTTTAGAATTAATTAAAGTTTCTATGGAAGATATGTTATTAGCATTAAATCAAGTTAAACCATCATCAATGAGAGAAGTTGTTGTAGAGATACCAAAAGTTTATTGGAACGATATTGGTGGTCAAGAACACATCAAACAGAAATTAAAAGAAGCAATTGAATGGCCTCTTAAACACCCAGAATCATTTATTAGAATGGGTATTAAACCACCAAAAGGTATTTTATTATATGGTCCACCAGGTTGCAGTAAAACATTGTTGGCAAAAGCTTTAGCAACCGAATCTGGTTTAAATTTCATAGCAGTTAAAGGTCCAGAATTATTAAGCAAATGGGTTGGTGAATCTGAAAGAGCCGTAAGAGATATCTTTAAAAAAGCACGTCAAAATGCACCATCTATTCTTTTCTTTGATGAAATTGATGGTTTGGCAATCAGTAGAAGCGGTGAAGGAAGTGGAGCTGTCGAAAGAGTAGTAAGTCAATTATTAACTGAAATGGATGGTATACAGCCATTAACCAATGTAACAATTATTGGTGCAACCAATAGACCCGATATTATAGATAAAGCAATACTTAGAGCAGGTAGAATCGATAGGATTTTATATATCTCACCACCAGATTTTGATGCAAGAAAAGAAATTTTTAATATTCATTTAAAAAAAGTACCCCATTCAAATGATATCAATGTTGAAGAACTATCAAATTTAACTGATGGTTATAGTGGTGCAGAAGTTACATCAATTTGTAGAGAAGCCTCCATTTGTGCAATGAAACAAGATCTAAATGCAAAACAAATCGAAATGAATCATTTTATTCAAGCAATTTCAAATGTAAAAAAAGGTATAACAAAAGAAATGTTAAATTTTTATAAACAATATCAAGAAAATTCAAATTTACAAGTTTTATAAAGAAGAAATAATAAAATAAATTTTATTTTATAAAAATAATAACATTGTTTTTATAAATATTTTTTAATAAAAAAAAATGAATTTAATCTTTTTTTTTTTTTATTTATTTAAATTATTATTAAAATATTATTGAAACATTTAATCATCTCTATCATCTTTTCTTTCATCATCATTATTACCTGGAGATGAGGTACCACTGCTATTATTACCATTATAATTTTCTCTATTTGGTGAAATGCCTCTTGGGGATGGGTCTCTTCTTGGTGATACATCGCCATCCCTGCTATTTGGTGATCTTTCTTCATCTCTATTGTTATTACTACTATTACTATTACTACTTTGACCATTGCCGTCAAAATCTCTTTCTCTATCTCTATTTGGTGATCTTTCATTATCTTGATTACCATTATCATCAAAATCTCTTTCTCTTCTTGGCTCACCATTGTCATATCTTCTACGTGGTGAATAATTACCATTTCTGCCATTATATGGATGAAATTTTAAAGTGCCTTTAGTATCTAAATAATTTGGATTTCTTGGTCTATATAATAAATTGAAAAAAATTTTAAAATTAATAAATTTTTCATGTTTTTAAAATAAAATATTTGATAATTACTTTTCAGCACAATCACGAGCAAAATGACCTGGCTTTCTGCAATTGTAACAAGTTGAATCAATTTTTAAACCTCTATCACCACCTCTTCTATCGTCTCTGAAACGATCATGGCCACCTCTTCTGTCATCTCTGAAACGATCAGTTCTGAATCTATCTCTACCACCTTCATAACGATCTCTACCATGATCTCTACTATCTCTATGGTGATGATGATCTCTATAATCTCTATGGTCTCTATCTCTATTACCACCATGGTCTCTTGGATGATCTCTACCACCACCACCATAATCTCTTTCTCTGTGATGATCTCTTTCTCTATTGCCACCATGGTCTCTTGGATGATCTCTACCATTATAATCTCTTTCTCTATGATGATCCCTTTCTCTATTACCGCCATGGTCTCTATGGTTATCTCTGTTTGTATATGATGATCCTCTTTCTCTTTCATCATAGGATGATGATCTTCTTTCGCCATCATAACCACCGCCACCACCTCTATGGTTATCTCTATCTCTGCTGTAACCTTGATCTCTCATACTTGATGCTGTACCACCACTACTATAAGAACTATTATATGAGCTATTCATTTCTTTTTTTTATTATTATTTATTATTGTATATTTATAATTTTAATAATGTGTAATAAATTGATAATGATTATTATTATTAAAGAAATTTAGCTTGGATAAATACACCTTGAATATTTTTTGAGAAAAAAAAAAAAAAGAAGAAATATTTAAATTTTTAAAATTAATACTTGATATTATTTGAGTTTATTTTCTTTTTTTTTTGTTTTTATCCTTATTGTTCTTTATTATTTATAAAAAATAAACTAATATTATTATATAAAAAAAATAAAAATTCCATAAAAAAAAACTATAATATATAATTTAACCAATATTCTTTTTTTTTTTCATCCATTATTGATTATTTCTATCCATGTCCATTCTCCCATAAAACCATAATTCTTTGTCCATGTCCATTACAATAATAAAATGATAATAAAAAATAATAAAAAATTCCTTTTTTTTTTTTTTTTTTTTTTTTTTTTTGAAATTTGTTTTTTTTTTTACCTTTAAACAGACCTCTTTTTCTTGACAATTGAATCTATTTGATTTATATTTATTTGGTTTATTACTGTGAAATTCTAACCCAAATATATAAAAATGATGATATATCTTTTAATTGAAAAATTTCTATAAAAAAAAAAAAAAAAAAAAAAAAATTTTTTAAAATTTTTAATATTTTTTTAATATTTTTTTTTTTTTTTTTAATTTTTTTCAAGTTTTTTTTATTTATATTTTTTTTGTTTTTTTTTTATTTTTTTTTTAAATCCCCCTATTTTTTATTATTATCGAACTTCCAATTTATAATATTTTCATCCTATATATATTCATATCAATATTTATAAATATATATTATTTATTAAAATTAAAGATCCAACACCTTTACTTGTTGTTGTTTTTTTTAAAAAAAAACCATTTATATATTTTAATTAACGTTTATAAATTTAAAATTCCCTCCATAAAAAAAAAAAAAAAAAAAAAAATCATAAAATTTAAAAAAAAAAAAAAATTTTAAAAAAGAATCATTTTTATTTTATGTAAAGACAATGGATAGATCAACTAATAACTCAAGACCTAGATTTAGTGTCACAGGAAATAGTAATATTGGTTTAAAAAGGCCAGCAAATAAAACACCAGGTAGAGCATCAATACAACAACCATCATACTATTCTAGTTTAGCAAGTAACACCAATAACAATAACACCAAATCCTCAGCAACTTTAAATAATAATAATAACAATAATAATAACTTTAATGATATAACTCCAATTAAACATAGACCATCCATCAGTGGTAATTCATCAAGACCAAATTTAAATCAAACATCATCAGCCACTTTACCAACATTTTTAAATGAAGGAACTAATAGCAATACCTCATCTACAAATTCAGCCCCAACACTTAATAATACAAGTAATTTTTTTAATAAATTTTTTAATACTCAATCACAACCAACACAACCATCGCCACCAATAAATAATATAAACAATCAATCAGATTATGAAATGATGGACTATCCAAATGATTCATATATTTCAAATACCAGTACCAATAAAACTAAACTAAATACAACACCACCAACAAACAATATAAATTTAAGAAATAGTAATAATATTTTAAATACACCAAACTCTTTAAATAACAGTGGAATATATTATAATAATACACCTGCCAAAACTAGAAAAAAACCATTTACAGAAAAGATTAGAGATGTCGTAAATTATCCAATTGATAAATTAGACGAATTTCAAGAGGTATTTTTATCATTCAATCACAGCAAATTTTATAACACTTGGGTTTATGGTTTAGCACTATTTTTAAACTTGATGCTTCTAGCCTATTCAATTGACCTTTTAAATAACTTTTTTGCCTTTCTCCTTTTCGTTGCAAGTATTGGAAATACAATTTATTATTTCAGTTCAACCAAAACTTCATATCTTTATAGATATGATAGTACCGAATTTAAAAGTCCAAATATGTCAATCGCTCAAATTGAATCCCCAACTGGTTCAGTTGACAATGTAGTAGTTTTAAAATCTTGGGAACCAAGTAATTATTTTTTTTTTATTTAAAAAAAAACCATATATAAAATTTTAAACAATATTAATTTTTTTTTTTTTATCAATATAGAATTCTTTCCAAGAGTAATTTTTACTTTATTTTCACCACTTCACGTTTTCATTATGGTTGCTCTAGCTGGTCCAGAATTTGATAGTTTTGTAATTTATACATTAATTTCTGTTGTAATTTGTTTTGGTGTAAGTTATTTAAAAACTAAAGTTAAACTTCTATAATTATTTATTAATTAATTTTTTTTTTAATTTTTTTTAAAAAAATAGCTTCATTATCTTAATGAAAAATACAATCAATATATATTAGATCAAAATATTATATTTTCACAACGTGAGTAATTTTTTTATTTCAAACAGATAATCTTTATAATTCTTTTTTTTTACTAATTAAAAAAATATTTCATTTATTATAGTTTGTCAAGAATATAATCACTTTATGAGAGTAATACCAGAAACTAGAGAAAAATCATCACAAACTCCAGATTATAGATAGAACTAATAAAAAATATTTTTATAACTACTTTTATTAAAAACTAAACAATTTTTTTTTGTATTTATCTTATTATTTATTTTTATACTTTTTAAAAATTAATTCCTTGACATTAAAAAATTAAAAAAAAACTTCTATTGAGCGGTCATAATGTATAAATAAAAAAGAAATAAATATATTATAATAATACCAAAGATAACATGAAATAAAAATTAAAAATAAAATATATGTATTATAATATTTGTAATAAATAGTAGTATACATCCATATTTTTATGTCTTGTTTAATTAAATATTATTAATAAATGATATTAGTTGATACCTAATACTTTTTAATTATTTATTTATTTATTTTTACTACAATAGTTCACATTTTCATTTCTTAATTAAATAAATGTTAAATTATTATTAAAATATAAAAATTAAATTTTTTATTTTATTAACATAAATTTCTTATTATAGAGGTATACGAGATGCTATAGGGAAAAAATAATATTTTTCATTTGGAGTTTCTGCACTATCACTTAGCTTACTTGTATTTGAACTTTCTGCACCATCTCTTGACTCTCCTGGTCGATGGCATAACTTTTCAATACCCCCTATTTTACAATGTCCCCCTAATTCTTTGGATGATTCATACAACTTCAAATATAATACAGTTTTACTATTGGTGTTGTGGCTATCCTTGTTGGGAATACAATTTAGAAACCTTTCATATTTGTTGCAATCTACACCTTGCAATAATCGAGAATTGAGTAGACTTTCGAGAACTGCCATTTGTTTACGTTCTCCAGATGATAAAATCACCCAGCCATGTTTTACATTTTTAATTTTATTTACTTCAATATGTGTTTCAACGGTATTTTTTGTTTTGTTTCTTAATTCCATTGTTTTATGTGGGTCAATATTACTAGTGTATTTTAATACCTTTTTGTTGAAGCTTGATTGATTTAATATCTGACTGTATTCTACAGCACCTGCAATCCCGATATAAAAATACACATTTGGAAATGTTTTGTTAATAAAATTTATCACTTTCAAACATATAACTGTCATTTCATCAAGAGTATGGTCTACACCTAAACATATATCTTTTATACGATGATGCGAGAGAAAAACCTTTTGTTCGATCAAACTTAAATGATCCTGATTATCAACTTGGATACAGTCTTTTATTTCTAACATTTTAATAATTGCAATATTGAAAAATAATTTAAAAAACTAATAAACAAAAAATATTAATTGATAATAAAAAAAATTAAAATTAATAATTAAAAAAAAAATTAAAAAATATTAAAAAAAAATTAAAAACTTAATTAAAAACTTAAAAATATTAAAAAAATTAAAATAAAGCTTAAAAAAAAAATTCAAAACTTAACCACCCATTCACAAAATTTTCTATATTTTATATATATATATAATAAATGTTTTTAGAAAAATTTTAAACCATTTCCTAAATTGTTATATCATTATTTTTTTAAACTTAAGTTTTTTCTTTTTATAAAATAATAGAATAATTATTTGTTGATACATGTATTCCAGCATCATACAAATGAATGTTCTATTTTTAATCAAACTAATTTCATTTAATATATCAATATTTCTATTTAAAATCATTTCTCCAATTGGTGTACTAATTTTCTTTCTTTTATTTCAACTACCATATGTTCGATTTCAAAATGATAGATAAAAGTATTTGAATCAACCAATCCCCATAATAATTATAAATATTTAAATAATATTTTATTTAAATAATATTTTATTTAAATACTATTACTGGTGATTTTGATATTATAATAATAAAATAATAAATTTTAAAGCTTATTATTTGCATTATTTCATGTAAACTTAATTTAGTATCGTTATAAAAAAAACCCGAAAAAAAATTTTGGAATATTTTATTTTTTTTTCAATAAAATTTTTTTTTTTTTCAACCTATTTTTTTTTTTTTTTTTTTTAATTATTTTCTTTAGTATTCACCACTGTATGTATAACCATATTATTTTTTTAATAACACAAACCAAAAAAAAAAAAAATTAATAAATATAATCATAAATATAATCTCATGTTTAACATTTATTAACAATTTTTTTTTATTTCAACCAATAAAAAAAATGAAATTTATATAAATAAAAAAAAAAAATAGGTTTAAGCACATATACTTTCAAACATGTCTATGCCACCAAAGAAATTAGAAGAACAAGTTCCACAACCACAAGTTAACAAAATCAGTATCACCTTAACTTCAAGAAACACCAAATCTCTTGAAAAAGTCTGTGCTGATATCATCAGTCTTGCCAAAAACAAGAAAGTTAAAGCTAAGGGTCCAATCCGTATCCCAAACAAAGTCTTAAGAATTACCACCAGAAAATCACCATGTGGTGAAGGTACAAATACTTATGATAGATTCGAAATGAGAATCCACAAACGTGTTATTCACATCTTATCAACTCAAGATTTTGTTAAAGATATGAACACCATCTCAATCGAAGCTGGTGTTGACGTTGAAGTCATCATGGACAAAAAAGAAGCCAAAAACTAAATAGTTAGAAATTAATTATTTAAATAAATTCTTTTAATTTTTTTAACCAAATTAATCCTTATTTAAAAACACATTTGTTTTTTTTTTTATTTCTCGTTTTTTTAAAATACATATTATATTTTGTCACTATTTCTTTTTTTTTAAATTTATAATTTTTTTATTTTCATGATCATCAACAATGATTCTACATTTAAATAATTCAGAAATATTGTTAATCTGTGATAAAATATCTTTTTTTTTGAGCCTCTTCAATAGAATATATGCCTCCACATTTTTTTTTTCTTTGCTACCAATTTTTCTCAGCAGACATAATCAAAATATAGAATTTCACCCACAATTTTTGATTATTTATCTATTTTTTTATCATCAGCGATATCAAAACTTTTTTCAAATGTCAAAAAAGTATTCACATTTTGTAATAATAAATGCATATTTTTTTAAAAGAATTTCTTTTATGTTAGTGTGAATATATTAATGAAAATATTGAATATAATATATCTTTTAATAGTTTAATTCTTGGTAAACAAAAAATTTAAAAAAAATTAAAAAATAAATAAATTGTTTAATATTATTTATTTTATTTTATTATCTTTTTTATTTTTATTTTTTTTGTTGAAAAAACTAAAAAAAAAATCAAATTTGATTAATTATTTTTTTTTAAAAATTTTTTTTTTTTAAAATTTTCTTTAAAATTTTTTTTTTTTTAAAAAAGTAATCAAAATCTGTTAATACTTTGACTATTGTTATTTATTATTTTTGTTTTAATTTTAATCATATATCTAAATTTTTTTTTTTTTTTTATATTTTTTTTTTTTTCATTTTTTTATTTTTATTTTTTTTTTATAAAAATTTTATTTTTTATTTTTTTTTTTTAAATTTTTTTTAATTTTTCATTATAATAAAAAAATAATTTAATTTAAAAAAAAAAGAGAATAACAGATAGATTAATAAACTAATAAAAAAAAGTAATATAAATTCATAGATAGATTAATAATAGTAATAGAAACAATAATATAGATAGTTGTCTCTTTTTTATAGTAAATTAAAAGATGGCTTTACCACTACCATTTAAATTTGATGTATCAAGATTAAAGGCAAAAATTGATGAAGTCGAAGATATAACCAAAAAGACATTTCATGCAACTGTTGGGGTCGGAGCAATGATATTGGGTGTAGGAGAGAGAGATTCAAAGAAAGAGAATAAAACACAATATTATATGGAATTAATAAGTGATAGCAAACCATCATTAACAGAAGAAGAGTTTTTAAAGATTACACCAGAGGGATTTTTTGATCCAACTTTTGATACAACTCAGTTTATATTGGATTTACTACCACCAAACGTCGGAAATAATTCAGCAGAATTCTCAACCTTTTTAGATACCAATGTTAAACAGTTCTCCAGGGCTATGGATTATGTAAATTCAAGATTATACAATCGTGTACGTGAAAACTATACAGAATTTGTTCAAGGTATGTCTCAAATTCATGAAATTGGTGTAGAGCTTCAAAGATCTACTGTAATGTGCTCGAATGGTCGTAGAACATTGGCCCAAACTAAAAAGAATCTCACCTCGACTGCTTTTATTATCATGTCAAAATACACCAAACGTAATTTACTTCAAAGAATGTATGTGGATCTTTCACAAATTCGTGAAATCGTCCATTTAGAGCGTTTATTAAAGCAAACACTCTCTGACGGTGATTATCCTTCAACTATCAAATATTATTTAGAGTGTCGTAAAACAATAACTCAACATCTTCACTATAACTGTGTACCAGATTTAGATAAAAATTTACAAGAAATCTATCATGTAGTTCAAGAGCGTATTGATAAAGATTTCTTTAATAGCTGTAGAGATTTTAACTCTACAACTTATCAAAGAGTTTTCCAAGCGTAAGTTGTTAAAAAAAAAAAGATAATATTTTATAAAAATAGGAATATATTAATTATTTTATATATATATATAGTTATAAATTATTAGGAAGAGCAAATAAAATTCTTGATAGATTACAAACCTATTTTGTTGATCCAATCGAACCAGAAACCAGAAATATTGTTTATTCACATGTATTATTATCAGAAGAAAATGTTATTAACCCAGAAAGAATTAAAGGCCTCAGTTATAAAGAATTATGTAAAGAATTAAAAGATGAACATTTTATTAATTGTCTTTTAGCAGTTTTCGAATATTTATGTGATGTTATGACAAGTCTTTATTTAATGAATCAATTTCACATTGATAATAGAATGTAAGTAGTATATTTGTTTTTATTTATAAATTTCTTTTTTTTTTAGATTATTAACTATTTTTTTAAAATTTTTGCTATAAAGTCATGAAGGAAGTAAAATTTTCGAAGATATTAACTCTGCACTAACAAGATTTAAAAATACAATTTGGGATACTATGCAAAAACAAGTTACACATTTATTAGCACCAAGAAAATTGTCAAATTTCAAAATTGATGACTTTTTATTAGTTTTAAATTCAGTTACAAAGATTAGTGAAATTGGCGAGGAATTTTCAGGTCATCCATCACATAAATTAAAACAATTAATTATAAATCAAAGTAAAACCTATTTAGATAATTTCCACTGTAGTCGTATTGAAGATCTTCGTACAGTATTAGAAAATGAATCATGGACAAGTATTCCAGTCGATAGTACTTTTAATGCAAAGGTAGAGTTAAGACTTCACAAAAAATCAAAAGTACATACTGATCGTTTACATGGTGATCATTTATTCCAATCTATTAAAACAAAAGGAAACCCATTCTCCCAATTAATTTCGTATAAAAAGAATAGACTTCCATCAACACATACTTCACCAACCATTAAATCACAACCAAACAATAGTAATAATAATAATGCAGCTGTACCAAAAGTCCAAGCCCCATCAACCAATGGTAATAAAATTGAAATTGATAGTGACGATGAAAATGAAGAATTAAAACAAGAGTATATTCAAGAGGATATGGACAGTGACGAAGAAGAGGAACATAAAAAGAAAAAGCAACAACAACAGCAACAACAATCTCAACAATCTCAACAACAACAACAACAAGAAAAGATTATTTTGGTATCATCAGCTACAATTGGTTTTGTTAGAAATATTGGTAAATATTTAGAAATGATGGAAATGTTACCACATATCTCCACCGATATTTTCAACTCAATTTGTCAACTTGTCGAATACTATATGTATACAGTTTATTCATTTTCAGGTTATTTAGATCCACAAGGTTTTAGTTTAGAAGCTTTAACAACAAAGATTGAAAAAACAATCTCTGAAAGACAGTTCGAAGATCTTTCATTCACCAAACCTCACGTTTCAAAATTCATCAACAAAATGAAAGAAAGAGTTGGATTACCCCCAACCAGTATTGCCACAAGTACTGCTAGCACTGTAATGTCAGGTATCTCTGGTATTACAAACATTACAAATATGAATCCACTATCGACTCTCTCAAATCAATTTAGTTTATTAAACACTTCAATTAAAAATATAGCTTCAAATATTAATTCACCAAGTTTATCAGCAAATAACTCTAGCAACAATCCTTATTCAAATAATATACCACCAATGAACCCAACTCCAACAACTATTTCAAATTCTACACCATCATCAACATCACAACCACAAGATCAACCATTGTTTAAATGGATACCAGCAAGAATTAATTATTTAGGTTTACAATTAGGTGATCCAGAACAATTATTTAATTTGCCAGTTCGTATGGTTGCTATTGAATCACTATCATTTATAGCCGAAGCATTGAATGTATGCAGACCAGTATTTGAAAATCTTTTACCACCAAACCAAACCGATAGCATCAATGAATTCTATAACAATATTATTGAGATTATCCCAGGTCTCCAAGGCCATCTTGTTAAATGTACTATTAGTGCTGTATTCACACATCAAGCTAGTCCACAATTTTTCTCAAATACCATTGCAAATAACAAATGGGATGTTAAAGTTGGTAACTCTACCAAGAGTCCATATGTTGATGCTTTTGTTAAAGAGTTTACAAAACTCTTTGCTAAATTGGATAGATGTGTACAACAGGCAAATCAATATTCAGACATTCCAGTTATCACTCGTTCACTTCGTAATCGTATTGTAGAGTTATCATTCGAATACTTTATTCAACAATTGGTAGATGGTTATTCTAAAATTAGAAAATGTACAAATGAAGGTCGTGCCTCAATGATTCAAGATGTTATGAGTTTAAAATATGGTCTCGAAAAAATTTCAAATGGCGTTAAAATTCCAAATATCTCATATGCCGAAGAATACATTAAAGCATTTTATCTATTACCAGCCATTGACGACCAAGCCGTCATTGAGTGGACTCAAACCCACGACGAATATCCAATTCGTTATATAATTAATCTCTTAAATTTAGTTAAAGTTTCAAAACCACAATTATTTAGTCAATTGGAAGAAATGGATCGTAAAAGAAGAAATAAATAAATAAATAAAAAAACAAAAAGTTAAATAAAATTAAATAAATATTATTTATAAATATAAAAAACTATATTTTTTTATTCTTATTTTTTATCTTTAATCTAAAATTGCTTTTTCTCTGAGATCTTTTAAAAATAATTGAATTTTAGAAGCTGGAATAACCATAATTAAACCTTTTTTAAGTAAATGACCAGATAAAGTCCATTTGGCACCTTTGCCATATTGATATGGGATATCGAACATTGCCCATGCTGATGCATGTTCTTTAAAATATTTATCCTCACATTTCATATATACTTCAAGACCTTCTTCAATATCGTCCTCATTTGATTGTGATTGAGCTTGGTTTTTATTGTTTGTTGTAATTTTTTTTGATTGATTATTTGATAACTTTGATTTTTTATTTGCTTGTTTATTATTACTTTCATCTTCGTCATCATCTTCATTTAAACCCTTTGGTGCCTCCATATCCTCTTCACTTGGTTTAGCTGTAACACCAAAAGTAGTGAGAACTAAATAGTTTTTAAAATTGTATGCTTTATCGTCGTGTTTTTCTTGCATTAATTCGACATCAAATTGGATGAATTGGTAAATTGGATGTGCTAATTCGTTTGGAATATTGATAAATCTTTCACTAAAGAACATACCCAATTGATTAGTTGATGAGGTGGATAATAATTTTGAAAGATAGGATTTCATTGATTTCTCTTTAAGTTTTGGATCGATGTATGATTTTTCTGGTGATTCTAATTTTTCATTAATGTACTCTAAATAGCCTTGAATGGTTTCTTGTTTTTTAACTGAATTGTAATTTAAAATTGAAATAAAACCATATGGGTCACCACCTGTACCATCTACATGAATACTTCTACCAAATTTCTTTTTGGTTGCTTGTTCAATAATTAACTCTGTTAATTCGCCTGGATTGAATTTAGATTGTTCTTTGAATGGAATTAATCTAACAATCATATTTTTAATGGAATGATAATCACCCTCTACACATGGTACAATATCAAAATCGGCTTGAATTTCATCAAAATCCTCTTCGTCATCATCTTCATCACTACTTGGTACAACTCCTAAATCTTCCTCTTCCTCTTCAGGTTCTGACTCTGATTCGGATTCGATTTCTTTTAATTTTCTTTTTTCTTGAATTTTTTTCTTTGGTTCTTCAACAGTTGTTGTTTTTTTAATATTTGTTTTATTTGATTTATTATTATTTACATTTTTATCACTATTATTAGTATTGAGTTTTTTATTTGATGTATCTTTTTTAACTACATTTGATGGTGCTTTGGTTGTGGTTTTTTTAGCTGGAGCAGTTGAAGGTTTTGGTAATTCGACATTAACTTTGGCTTTCTTTTTTTCAACTAATTTTTTTTTGGTGGTTGTTGGTGTTTCAACCTCAACACTAATTGAGGCTTTCTTTTTTTCAACTTCTTTTTTTGCTGGTTCTTGTGGTGTTTGGTTTTTTGATTTCTTATTCATATTATTATATCTGGTGGGTGTTATATGAAATGATAATAAAAATGAAAAAAAAAAAAAAAAATTCGTTTTTTTCATTTTTTTTTTTATTTTTTTTTTTTTTATTATATTTTTAATTATTATTTTTGATAATTATTTTTGATTTATCTAATGTAGCTACACTATCATTCTAATGAATCTTTGAAATTTCGAAAAGGTTGTTAAAAATTGAAGTGTTTGATAGATGGTGAACGAAAATAAAAAAAAAATTGAAAAGGAATTTGAATTTAAAAAAAGATTTTAAAAGAATTAATAAAATTTTTATTGAATTTAAAAAAGATTAACAGATAAATTTTTTTTCAACACAACACACACAATGCCATACCCCACTATTATTTTAACCCACATTTTTTTTTGTGTGCTGATTAATATGTATTTTTGGTGCAATTTGGTGTAAATAAATATTAAATATATTAAATATATGTATTATGTATAATATTTTTAAATAGAAAAAATATTATTAATTTGGTGGTGATGATTGCACACAAAATAAAATCGTACACAAAATCTAAAGATTATATCATAGATTCTAAAATAGGTTATTGTTTTTATCAAATAAAAAAGTAAATCATAATAACAAATATAAAAACAAAAAAATTATTTTTTGAAAAATATTGTTTTGGTAGTAGATCTAATTTCTGTAATTATTTAATACTTTTTGTACAATTACTTAAACTTTTCCTTTAATATCAATTTTTATTTATTTTATTTTTATTTTTATTTTATTATTTATTTTATTTTTTTAAAAATATATAAATACTTTATTTTAAAAAAACCCATTATAATTTTATTACTTGTTGTTTTTTAATTATTTATTTATTTATTTATTTATTTTATCATATATTTAATTATTTATTATAAAAAAAAAATGAAATTATTATTTATTTTATCTTTAGTATTTTTATTTATAAATATAAGTTTGGGTCAATCTAATGATTGTTCAAGTTCACTATCCAAATATTTTACAAATAATATGAGCTCTGTTAAAGTACAGCTTGTAGTAATAAGACCTAGTGGCGATGTGGTTTATGCAAATAATACACTTTCAAATAACTTTGGTGTATTAACTAATGGTAATAGTTTTCCAGCTGTTTTTTCATCAAAGATCTCATGTACAAATGGCAAAGTTCAACTTTTCGATGTAGCTCAACAAAAAGTTTCTTTTAATGATAGAGCAGGAATATTGTTATATTCAGATGGTAGATTAAATCTTACACCAACCTGGGGTAGTTCATGGAAATTAAACTTAACATGCACAGGAACCGGTAGTGGGGCTATTAATTACGGTTGGACCACTGATGGTAATTTAATAACTCTTCAAATAATAGAATAAAATAATTAAAATAAAACTATAAAAATAAAAAAAACTATTTAAACACCCACAAAAATCATGATTGAAAAAAATATTTTAAATTTTTTTAATATACATCCATATATCCATAAAAATTGCTGGGATATTTTTTTTTTGTTTAATTTATAATTGTGAGGTATGCAAAAAAGGTTTAATAAATGTTTTCTAGAAGTTCAAAAAAAGATTCCATTAATTAATTATGTGAAAAAAAATTTTATGATTTTTTTTTATTTAATTTTTTACTTTTTTTTTTTTTTTTTAAATATTTTTTTTTTTTAAAATTTTTTTTTTTTAAAAATGAATTTGAAAAATATATTTTTTTTTATTTTTTTTTTAATTACAATTTATTTAATTTTCTTTGGAACATCAAATAATAAAATAGAATATAAAATGTCAAAAGCTGTTTGTGTATTAAAAGGTGAAAAAGTTAATGGTGTCGTCAAATTCACTCAAGATGGTGAAGGTAAACCAGTTAGTGTTGAATACGAAATTGAAGGTTTAACCCAAGGTACTATAGTTTAATTAAATAAAAAGAAAATTTCAAAAGAATTTAATCAAGATTTCGAATATTAATATAAATTAAAATACTTCTCCTTTTCCCCTCTATTAATAAATAATAAAATCAATCATACCCCCCAAAAAAAAAAAAAACAATTGAATCAAATAATCTTTAGGTAAACATGGTTTCCACGTTCATGCCTTTGGTGATACCACCAACGGTTGTATTTCAGCTGGTCGTATGTATAGCAGATTTGTTCAAAAAAAGAAAAAATATTTAAATTTGGAAAACTAATTAAAATTATTCATTTAATAGCACATTTCAACCCATTCGGTAAAGCTCATGCTGGTCCAACTGCTGCCGTAAGTATAAACCATAATAAATATTTATCTTTTTTGTCATTTTATTAACTCATATTCTTTTTTTAAATAATAGGATCGTCACGTTGGTGATTTAGGTAATATTGAAGCCTCAGGTGACTCAACCACCAAAGGTACCATTTCTGATTCAGTTATCTCACTCGTTGGTCAACACAGCATTGTTGGTCGTACCATCGTTGTTCACGCTGATGAAGATGATTTAGGTTTAGGTGGTCATGATGACAGTAAAACTACTGGTCATGCTGGTGCCCGTGTTTCATGTGGTGTCATTGGTTGGACTAACTGAACCCCAAGCAGTAAAATGTAAATAATAATAAAATTTTTGCTTTAATAAATAATTATAATATAAAAAAAAAAAATCATTTCTTTTGATCATTATTTATTATGACTATAATATCAATTTTATCTTTACTTTGCAAAATATAAAATTTTATTTTTAGAATTAATTTATTTATCTTTAAATGACAAAAAATTGGAAAAATTTATCCCCATTACTTGTATTAGATTAACACATATTTGTAATTTTATTTTTACAAATTTAAATTTGTAATTTTTTGAATACACAAACATTTTTTATAATATAAAAAAACTATATTTGTTTTTTTTTTGATAAAAATTATTCCTTATATATCAGAAAGATTTATTTTTAGATTTAATTAATTATATATAATCAAAAGATTTTCAAAAAAATTTCAAGGGCGAAATGTGGATTATATATATGATTTCAATTATTTATTTTTTAAAATATAACCTATAATTATAATATTTGATTTTTTTTATTAAACTTTTATAAGACTTATATTTTTTCAAAACGAATTTAAAAAAATATTTATTTTAATATAAATATTAATTTACATACAATTATAAAATTTTTTAAAAAAACTTTTATAATAAAAAAAAATGAAAGTATATATAAATAACAAAATTTATTTTAAATCAGATCATCCCCAAATAATTATTGAAAATAATATTAATTTATCAAATTTTATAATAACTTCCTTAAAAGAAAAGGAAAACAAAATAATTTTAAAGGATGGAAATTTAAAAAGTATTTATTCATATGATTTAATAGATGCTGTTCAAAAGGTAAAAAAAAACAAAAAAAATTTCAGTGTAAAATAATTAATCTAATAAAATGATTTTTTAAATAGGTAGCAAAAGGATTTAATCTACAAGAGATAAATAAAAGGGATGTAGTAGGAATAATAACCCCCAATATATTAGAATATACATATTGTGTTTTGGGTGTAATTTTAGGTGGAGGTATTGTTTCTCAAATCAATCCCAATAGTACGGTAAGTGAAATAAAAAATACACTATCGACAGTAGAACCAAAGTTTATTATTATAAACTATTCAAACTATATTAGAATTAAAGAAAATATCAAAGATCTATTTCCTAAGTGTCGTGCACTTATTTTAATTTACGATTGTGACAATGATCAAAATATTAAACTTTCTACAGAATCTTCTTTTAATATAATACATATTAATAGCTTTATGGACAATGATGGTATATATAATGAAAGTTTAGCAGGAGTGGAATCAGACAATGATATAGCAGCCATTTTATTTTCGGGTGGTACAACAGGAAATTACAAAGGTGTTTGTCTAACTCATTCAAATTGCGTAGCAAGTATTAAACAAGTGATAGTATCTGAGTATTCAAAACACACAGAGCCTCAAAAAATCATTAGTTGCATACCAATGTATCATATGTTTGGGTTTATAACTATATTTTTATGCTGCATTGCATATGGATGTTGTTTATATTTTTTTAACAATTATAATTTAAAAAAATTATTAACTTTAATTGAAAAAGAAAAAATTACATTTGCTTTTATAATCCCCACAATAGGTATTGATTTAGCAAAATCCTTATTAGTTGAAAAGCATGATTGCTCTTCGCTTAAATCAATCATTTCTGGAGGGGCTCCATTTCCAGAGACTATTGTAAAAGATCTTCAAATGAGAATTGGGGTATCCATCAACAAAGATAATAAACCCATTAAAAACCTTAAAGTAAGACAGGTTTACGGATTAACAGAATCATCTGCGGTTGCCTTAACAAATCCATTTAAATATGAAACTTCATCATCTGGTAATTTAGTATCAAATATGATTTCTAAAGTTATTGATTTTGACAGCGGTGTTAACCTAGATGTAAATAAAATAGGTCATATATGCTTAAAAGGTCCAAATATTATGAAGGAGTATTATAATAATAAAAACGCAACAAATAGTACTTTCGATGATGAAGGATTTCTATTGACTGGGGATATAGGTTATTTCGATGAAAATGGTGAATTATATATCGTCGATAGAATAAAAGATTTAATTAAAAGCTATGGCTATCAGGTAAGTTTTTAAAATTAATTTTATTTTATTTTTATTGTTTTTATTATTTTTTATTAATTATTTTATTATTTGTTGATTGTTTTTATGTAGGTAGCACCTGCCGAGATAGAGTCTATTTTATTAAGTCACCCTAAAGTCCAAGAAGCATGTGTAATTGGAGTACCATCAGTTGAAAATGGGGAAGCACCAAAAGCCTTTATTGTTTTAAAACCAAACGAAAAAGCAACTAAAAATGAAATTTATAAATGGTTAAACCCAAAGATTTCACATTATAAGTCGTTAAATGGTGGTATTGTTTTTATTGATAGTCTACCTAAATCCCCTGCTGGGAAAATATTAAGAAGAAACTTAAAACTCCTATCTAAAATGTGAAATATAAAATAATATCTATATAAAAAATAAATGAATAATTTTTCGAATTTTTATACTCTATTCTTTTTTTATATAAATAATAATTATTAAATTTTATTAGTATACAAAATAAAAAAAATATAAAAAATTCCAAAATAGATTCTATATTAATTCTTTTGTATAGTTGAATTTGAAATTTTAATAACATTTTTATAAAAATAATAAAGTTTAAAAAAAGGCTGTAGTTTTATTTATATTTTCTATTTTTTTTTTTTTCACAGATTTATAAATTATTTTTGGATTTATCCAAAATTTTTATATTTTAATTTAAGAATAAATAAATAAATTATTATAACGGTGCTTTATACCTTTGATGATTTTTATATTCGCACCTCCTCAATAATAAAATGATTGTACTACAATCTTCATTCCACAACACTTTGGGTAAAAATCTATCTTTTAAAATATAAATCTTATATTAAATTTTTTTTTTTTTTGGTAAAGTTTATTATTTATACTTTTATTTAATGGATTTATTATTATTTAATTTATAGAATTTGGAGAGAACCATTTTGATACTTGAATGATACCATTTTTATATTCTGAATGTTTTAATGAGTCCTTCATTAATTTTTGACAAGATGGTACAACTGCGATTACTCTATAGAGAGTTATAAGTACATTTAATAAACGTTGGTCAACATCGTTTGATTTTGAATCTGAGGCATCGGTTGAATCAATGAGTTTTTTATAGATCATATGGAATTTGATGAATAAATGTCTATCTACATAAAAACTAACCAAGGATTTAACATCTTTTTCTACATATTTAGTATCGATTGGGTTTGAGCCGACTGGTCTAATAACATTCTTTCTTGTTTCATATTGGAATAATGAAAATAATTTGGTTAAATAGTGAAGTGAATTGGTTAGGACCACATTACCAGCATTTAATGTAATAATATCGATGAAAGCAATTAAATATTTGCTCTTTTCTAAATATTCTATATGACCATGATGGTATCTAATCATTTGGAAGAATAATCTCCAACTATTACGATTGAATTCTGGATTCTTACCATCTCTACATGATGGAATTAAAAATTTAAATAATTTTTCTTCTTTTTTGATAGTTTCGAAAATTTCTTGTACTTTTAATATGTGTCTCAATGAAATTAACATATCTAAAAAAAAAAAAAAGTTAATATATATTATTACCATAATTAAAATTATTATTGTTATAGTTTATTACTTACTTGTTTTAATTGTTTGAGAATACTTATTATTATCATTTGTTGTATTTGATAAAAATGAAATAATTTCAAATAATATAGTTGGAGAAATTGGAATATTATTACCGTCATCAGTTGAAGATTTCTTTGAGTCACTTTTACCACCACTTTTAATTGATTCGTTGTTTTTAAATAAATTGAATTTTGATAAAACTTTACAAAGACTAGCAAATAATCTTGAAACCAATTCAACGTTTTGAGTGAATTTTTTAGATCTTACAATTAAATTATATAGTTGGAAGAAAATGAAATCGTTCAATATGAATTTGTAGAGTGATTTTGGTGAGCCACTAACATTTTCTAAAACTGATGTTAAGAATTGGAATACCAATTCAGCAAAAAGACTATTACTACCATCTTCTTTACAAGTTGTTAAATCGGTGAGATGTTGTGATTCGAGCTTTTTAATACTTTCGGTATAACAAGCAATTAAAAATTCTTTCCATGGATCCTCTTGAAGAATTTGGAATATTCTTTTGGCAGCAAATTGAGAGTGAGCAAATTTGGAGTGTGATAAATCACGGACATGAGTTAAAAGATCTTTCTTTAATAATGAGTGAACAGTTGGTGATTCTGACATTTTAATGAGTTGGATTAAAACGAAAAGGAAGCAGTTGCTAACCTCAATTGATTTTCTACCGAGTGCTCTAAATATTTTATAGAGGAAATCTTTGTCATTTTGGAATTGAATGCCAATTCTTTCGGCAGCATCTTTCTTTGAGGTATTGATAAAACCTAAAACGCCGACATTATTACAATAGAAATTTAATCTCTCTTGAATAATACCTAAATAATAATATACAAATACTAATCTAACTACCTCTTGAGTTGAGCCTTTAGCAATGGATGGTGTGAGCATTTCATTGAGATGTGATGGATATGGGAAAAGATCCAATGGTACTGCATCAAAATATGAAATAGCTTTGGCCATACGATAAAGTGAATTTAAATCTTTGGAGAATAAAATGCTTTCGATTACCATTGTACCCTTGAGTTCTGATGAGAGAGTTAAAATTACTAATGTTGAAAGCTTTGATAATGATAATGGATTATTAACGTAATCAATAAACTTCAAAAGAATTGGGAATGAATCTGTACTAATAAGACCAAGGAAAATATTTGTAGAAATACTTGGACCATTGCCTGAAGCATGAGAGCCACTTCTTGGACTACCACTACGTTCAACAGTTGCGGCTAATTGTGATTGTGAACGTGGTGAATCTAATGATGTACCTGGCATAACAATATTGTTATGGCTGCTATTTGGTGACATCTTATTACCAGCTGGTGAACCTGCAAAACTAAATGAACCTGTTGAACCTGTACGAGTTGGTGGTGATCCTAACATTGAACTACTAACATGTGGTGATAATGGTTGGGCTGGTCTAACACTGTTTGGTGAGGATGAAGATGAACTTGTATTTAATAACATTTGTGGAATGATTGCTGGAATAATTGGAATGGTTGGTGCAAATAAACGAATGTCGCCCATATCGAAACACTCTTGGAATTTATCTAAATATTGTGAAGCATTATTAATAAGGGACCAAACACCATTTTGTAAATCAAAGCCTGGTTGTGTTACAATAGATTCGATTTCCATTTTCTTTTCTTGTAATTCGGTTGGTGTGATTCTACCATCAGACCATGAGTTTAGATGATCATATCTAAAACTAAATTGAAGTCTAGATTCATAGGCTTGAAGAGTTTTAAGGTATTGTTTTCTATCCTCTCTTGAAATATTGCTAAGTGTAGTTGAAGTGAATGAATTGATAGATGAATTACTACCACCACCGCTAATACTAAGACCACTACCACTGCCGCCTGATGAACCACCAATACCACTACCGCCTGCGCCTGATGAGCCTGGTTGATTTGTTTGTTGGTTTTCTAAAACTAAATAGTATTGTAAATTCATATTTGGTGATAAAAGTTTGCTAAAGTTGATTGGTAACTCTGGTATTGGATAATTATATTCGACTCTTTTACCATCGGCTTCACTATTGATATCGGAACGACGAACTGCTTTAAGAGTTAATGGTGGTAAAAGGTTACCTTTCTTTGTGACTGACTCTTTCCATCCATTTTGAATTGTTGGCATTAATAAATGATTTGACCATAAACCACCACGGTAACTTGATGCTGTTTGACGTTGAACAAGCATTTTTTTTCTATACCATTGATCAACAATTTCTGTAATTTTAAGTCTATCTTCTTGTGGTAAAGTTTTCCATAGATTTGTTTTGGCTGAACTATTATTGCTATTGTTTACTGATGAGCCACTGGTACTTGGATTGTCAAGATGATCCTTAATATTGAAAAGATTTAAATATTGGCCACATGATAGCTTTGAATTTGATAAAATTCTATTAAAAATTAAAGTTTCCTCTGTAACAATTGGACGTACAATTGGACGAAGAATCCATTCTTCTTTTGATTTATTTACATCGAAACCATCAACATCAATATATTTGTTTGTAGATTCACCCAATTCTTGGTTTGTAGTTTGGTCACTTTTATCTTTTGAGGGTAATTGAATGAATTGGCTGGGATGTGGTGGGAGAACTGAGGTTTTGGAGATTACTTCGTTTGACCAATTTCTCATTGCAAATTCATATTCTTCAAAGGTGCTAAAGAGCTCGGGCATTGGTTCTGTTAAAATGAGTTGTGAATCCCATGGATCTTTGTTGAGAATGGTGTTTTCTTCAAATATTGAGCTACCAGTACGTCCCATTTTACCATATGGTTCGCCAGATTCTCCAAGACGACCTTGCAATGTATGTTTTGGTGAAAGTGAATTTGAACGTTGAATTCTATGATCTATAAATGCGCCACTATTACTTCTACTACGAGTACCATTTGCAATGATACTAGCCAATGAGCCTGTGCTGGGTGATCCATCCATTGGACTATTAGAGCCGTCTAATTGGGTGCCATCGAATGAGCCAGTACTAGTGTCACTATTACTACGTTCACGTCCATTACCACTATTATGATTAACATTACCGCTACCGCTTACTGAATCTTCGCCACCTGTACCAGATAAGCCATCTATATCACCATCGGTTACTGAAGACATATCTTTCATGTCAGAATCTGTATATTTTCTCTCCATATCGTATGAGAGTGAGTCGTCATTTGATGCTTCTGAATTTTTTCTAAATAAACGTTCTTGTTGTAACTTTGGTCTACCATAGGTTCTACCGATACTGTGTGGTAATTGAACTACACCTAAATTCTCTTCTACTTGTTTCTTCCATTCAATTAATGATTGTTCATAATCTATATAGTCGTCATAAGCTTGATAGTCTGGAAATGAATTATAAATTTGGTCTGTTGAATTAAATCTAAGATAGGGTGTGAGGTCGTTTTTTGGACTATTCTTTTTTAAGGTTTTATTTACTGTTGCTGATGATGGTGATTTATTATTTACACTTCCAATATCGTTATTTTTATTTGGTGTTGGTGAGGTTAATGATGGTGATGCTGATGATGAAGAAGAAGATGATGATGAAGAGGATAATGATGGTGATAGACCTGCTGGTGGGTTATTGTCATCGATACCAATATATTTAATTGCTATATAATATTTATTATAAAGGGTACCATTTGCTCCCAAAAACAATGGTGTCTTATATTCTTCTGATTCTGTATTGATATTATTTGGCTTAATAGCCTCAACTAATTCTGGCCCTGAATATTCTTCACCATCTAATAAATTTTTAAAAAATAAAAAATATTAGTAACAAATATCAAAAATTATAGTTCAAATGAAATATTAAAATGATACATACTTAAAAATCTGAAAACATGTGGTTGTCCTGAGGAACCTTGAACATCTAGATTTAATGCTGCTCTTCTAAAGCTTTTTGCTTTTGAGAATGTTCCTCTTCTATTTAAAGCTGATGGTGATAGATTTTCAATTGATGACATTTCTTGTTGTTTTTTTTATTTATAGATAATAATATTTATATATATAATAAAAAAAAATATATTACTGTATTTGATATTTGTTACTTGATGATATTGATTTTTTTTTTTGATTATTTATTTTTTTAAAAAAATAAAAAAAATTACTATAAATACAAAAAGAAAAAAAAAAATTCTGTTATTATTATTTTACAAATATTTTATATAACAAAGAATAAATAAAAAAAAAGTTGTATATATATAACTAGTATATGATTTATATATATATTAAAAATGTGTTACTATAATTAAATTAAATAAATTAATTTAATCATAAGTGTGAGAAAAAAAAATATATGATATTTGTTGTAATATTTCTAAAAAATATATATATTTATATTTTCTAAAATTTCTATTTTGTTTGATTTAATATCATATATTTTTTTTATTTTATTTATTAATTACTATTACAATAAAAAACAAAAAAAGAAATCTTTTTTCTCTATTTTATTATGTGTGTGAAAAAATTAAAAAAAATAAAACAAAAATAAAAAAAAATTATAGAAAAATATAAAAAAAAAAAAATTATTTAAAAAATATTTTTTTTTTTTTTTTTTTTTTTTTTTAAAATTTTTTTCACTTATTATAATAATAATGTTTTGTGAGTGTGCGCATTAAAAATATCACACACGATGATGGTTTTTTCTTTGATATTGCTTCTCTACTAATAACAATCACAACAATTGAGTGTTTTTTTTAAAATTTCTGGCTGTTTTAAAAAATTTATTTGTGTGTGTATGAAATGATTTAAAAAAATAAAAAAAAAAAGAGAAAAAAAAAAAAAGATATTTTATACATGCTATTTATAAAATTATATTAGTTTTATATTAGTTTCCTAAAATTTATTATTAGCTTATTTTTTTCTAAAATTATAATAAATAATTAAATATTTATATTAATTATATTATCTTTTTTTTGTTATTGTTTGTTAATATTAAATCATTATTATATAATATGATATGTTATGATATTTTTATTATTATTTTTGGGGTAGGAATGTAGTTATTTTTATTTTTATTATTTTTTTATTTTTAGCAACTAAAATGAATCACAACTTTTTTTTTTTTTTAGTTTCAATACCAAATTTAAATTTATTTTTATTATTTATTTTAAAATTTAATTGTTTACAATTATGTATAATTATATTAAATTTTTGTTTAGTTTTTTTTTTTGGGTATCATACACTACATATTTAATTATTAAACTACTATATGATTTTAATTTTTATATATTTTTATTTCTATTATTTTAATATTTTTATAAATTTTATATGATAAAAAGTAAATTGATTGTATTATTTTATGTATTTTAAAAAAAAAAAAATACAAATAAAAAAAAAAAATATAGAAATAATGGATATATAAATAATTTTTATATCTTAATCGGTTTTAAAAAAAGAATTTTGTTATTTTTATCTCCAAAGTGGGTGGGTTTAAAGTATGTGTGTGGTATTTTGTTGTATGATAAATTTTTTTTTTGATTAGAGTGTAGTTCCCTTGGGTGTGGGTTAATATAAATTTAATTAATTTTTACAACAATAATTCTTTTTTGTGTGATTAATTTATATATTTAATTCCATATTAAAATATAAAAAGATTTAGGGTCATGAATTAATTATTTTTTGTTTGATTTAAATAGATTATTGTCTTTAAATGGAAATGGTTTTTTTTTTTTTTTTTCTTTTTTTTTTTTTTTTTTCAACTAGTCAGGATTTAAGATGCTTTGTGCAATGACCTAAAAAAGATCAAGTAAAGCCAATTCAAAGAAAATAATAACAAATTTGGAATCAATTTGAAAAAGGTTTTTTTTAATAAAAAAAAAAAAACAACCAAAATCAATTTTTTTCGCGCTTATTTTGGTTTATTAATTTTTTTTTTTTTTTTTTTAAATTTAAAAAATAATTTTTTTTTTTTATTTCATTATTTTTTTTTTCTTGTATATAAACCAATTTGTATATACACATATATTTTTTATTTTATTTTGATTGTAATTTATATTTTTTTATTTTAATATACCAATTATTTTAAAGTTTATGTATTTAATAGTTAATACATAATAATGTCAAGATTAAATAAAAATAAAAATACTTCAACACAAAATAATGTATCAAATAATTTAAATGGATTAAATATAATTTCAGAAATACCGTTACAAGATATTGATGACGAGATTAAAGACAAAATATGGAAAGGTGAACTATTGTCAGAAGAAGCTAGAAATATATTAGATCATGTAACGAGTAAAATAAAGAATGAACAGTTAGAAGCAATATTAAAGAGCCTTAGATCCATATCTATACCCGAGTTTGACCCTGAACCATTCGAGCAGGTCGATTCTAATCAGGAGGAAGAGGAAAGAAAAAAGAAATTAAAATTATTGAAACAACAACAACAAAAGCAAAAAAAGAAAGGTGGTAGAAAGAAAAAAGGTGCAAGTAAAAAGAAGATAATTGAAAGTGATGATGATGAAGATGTCGATCAAGACGAAGACGAAGAAGAAAAAGAGGATGAAATTGAAAAAGAAGATCAACAACAACAACAACAATTAAAAAATGAAATTAAATATTACAGAAATGGTAAAGAAGAGATTAATAACGATTTCAAAGAGTTTTTGCAAAATAATCAAATTTCAAGTGAACATTTAATTGTATTTTTATACTGGATAATTAATACAACATCAGTAAAGAATCAAGAACAAAGGTTTAATGCTGCTTCTATATATGTCCGTATGATTACATTGGAAAGAAAGTTGTTCCATCCATTTGCTTTTCGTTCAGTAATGAAGTTGCTTTATGTTAAAAGTCCCAATACATTGGTCATTAGTGAGAACAAATCTGGTAAGAGTAAAGGAAAAGGGAAAGAAAAAGATGGTGATACTGAAATGGAAGAGGATGAACAAGAAGAAACTGGTACTGCTGATGAAAATGATGAAATGGAAGAAGATGAACAAGAGGAAGATGGAGGCTCTAAATCAAAAACTCAGAATAATGAAAAAATTTGGTTTAAAAAGTGTGGTTTACTATTACAAGATTTATCATGGTCATTTTATAGATTTGATTTTTCAAATCATAATGAACCATTATGTAATGCAATAGAATCAATTACCCAATTGGCACGTACTCAGAATTTTAAAAAACCAAAAGCAAAAGGAAAGAGGACTGCAGCAAGTGATTCAAATGAAATTGAAGTTATTAAGTTGGCATTCGAAGCATTATCAGTACTTGTTGAAGAGAATAGACATGCTCCTTTGCCGGTTGTGCTTTCAATACTCTTAAAAGAATTTCTACCAACTCTTTCAATGAATCCTGGTACAAATATTCCACCACAAGTTCCAAAATCATTAATTTTTGATCGTGACTTGGTTTTAGAATTTATTTTTAGCAAATTAATTCCAAATAGAAATACTCATGACCACATTTATATTTTAATTCAACATATTTGTATGAAAGTATTGGACCGTTCAGAATACAAGACCCAAACTGTTACTAGTGTATCCAAACTATTAACTCATCTCTACTCTCATCAAAGATTTATGGACAATTTTTTCATCACTTATTCAAAAAATGTTAAATCTCACTTTAGATCATTCTCTGTCGAGGTATCTTTGGCTTTGCTCCACAATTTTAAAATTTTCAAAGATATATTTGGTGATACACTTAAAGAAGATTTATTGATACAACAGCTGTTAGGTATTCTAGTTGATAGATCATCTGACAAAGTTTCAGTAGTACGTTCAAAAGCCTTAATATGCTTATCAACTCTTTTGGAGGATTCCGAAGATCAATCTGAAGATTCAGAAATTATCAAATTAATCAAAAATCATTTAAATAAGGTTTTCATATTAGATCACAATGGTAATAATACTCAAATTGATTCAGATGATGAAAATGATAATGTCAGAAATAGTAATAAGAAAAAACCATCTTTATTATCATTCCTTTCAAAAAGATCCCAAGATGAAAAGGCTCAAGTTAGAAAATCTGCACTTCAAGTATTAGATGTTATTTGTAGTCAAAGTGGTGCAACCAAACCAATTTTAAACATTTTATTAAAGAGTTCACAAGATTCATCACCATTAGTACGTAAACAAGTTATTATTACTCTCTCAAAACTACTCTTAACTTTTCCAAAAGATCTTGTTTTAGTTGATACTTGGAGAAAAGCAGTTATTCCATTAATTACCGATAGAGAACAAACCATAGTCGATAAATCTTTAGACTCCATAAATGAAATTTTATTCAATTCAATTTTAAATCCACAAAGGTAACTATTAATTTTTATTTAAATATTAATATTTATTTTTAAATCCTAACTTTTTATATTTTTTATTAGTAATGAATTTATTTGGGTATTATTACATGATATTAGTGTCGAAATGAAACCATATTTACATAAAATTTGTAATTTAATGTCATCAAAAAAACTAATTACACCACAAATTATTAAATCAATTCAATCAATTATTAAATCATCAAAAGAAGATAATATTATTGGCGGATGGACCTTATTTTCAGAGATTGCATATTGTTGTCCAGAGAAATTGGATCAACATTTAATCATTGGTGCATGGAATAAATATAAAGATTCAGTCAATGAAAAAGGTTTATCAGATTCCAAACATGAAGACAGAGTAACATTATTGTCTTGTATACTATTGGTAATTGAAACAATATGTCCATTGCTTTCAATTGAAAATTCAAAATTACTTTTCAATGAAATCTATGCCAAAATTAAACAATTCGCTTATGAACCAATCATCACTCAATTACTTTTAAATATTCTAGTCAAATTAACTCATAAAACATTTAAAGATAACAAAAGTCAATTTCAAACTGCAATTGCCGAATGGACAAAGAAAATATTACAAATTTGTGATGAAAGATTATCATTGTACGCCTTACCAAATATCAATATCAAAGGTAGCTCCCTAGACGAAAAGCAAGAGGAGGAACAAGTAGATAACGAAGAAAAATTAGGTTTATATTTATTTACAATTGGTGAAATTATTCAAATACCACAAGCTAAAATTCCAACACGTTTAAAAACTGTTGTACAGGCTTTAATTGCACCAAAACTTACAACCATCTCAAATAATAATGATTTCAGTGATTTGATGGTAACTGAGGATGATAGAACAATTCCAGTTTCAATTAGGGCCCATGCTTTCATTACATTAGGTAAACTTTGTTTAGGTGATGACAGATTGGCAAAGAAGTGTATTGCAACCTTTGCAAAAGAATTAGAGATATCTGACTCTCCAATCATTAGAAATAATGTTATGGTTGTAATGTGTGACCTTTGTATTCGTTACACCCAATTGGTTGATAACTATATTCCAAACATTGCCATGTGTCTTAGAGATCCAAGTGAAATGGTACGTAGACAAACATTAGTGCTCTTAACACGTCTTTTACAAGAAGATTATGTCAAATGGAAAGGATCATTATTCTTTAGATTTGTTGAGGCACTTGTTGATCCCTCACCAATTGTTAAGCAATTTGCAAATTATTGCTTAATGAATGTTTTACAAGTTAAATATGGTAGTAATGGTGGTGCTGCATCGGCCACATCCTCTGCGTCCAATACCTCCACAGCAAACTCAAATCACCATGGAAATGTATTTTTCACTCACTTCCTCGAATCAATTTTTGTTTTAAATAATTGCAAAGCTCACCCAAATTACAATCAAATCTCTGCCAATCCAACCTTTTCATTATCATTAGGTGGTGCAAAAAATAATAATGGTGAAGCTTTTCAACTTTCTGGTTCTGACAATTTTTCAAAGAGAATGCAAATCTATTCAACCTTTTTAAACAACATGCGTGACGAACATAAATTCCAATTGATGAGTAGACTATGCCACGAAATTTTATCAGAGATTTCTGAAGAGCGTTTCAATCTTGAAGATTGCAATGGTGTCATTCACGATACACTTTCGATATTGGCATGTAAAGAAATTAAACTAGCACTCCACCAATCAAAATCTACCGAGGAAGATGACCTTACACCAAAAGAAGTTGCCGAGGAAGCCGCAAAGAGTAAATTATTAACAAATATCTTCAAAAAGAATGTTATTGAAAATATTGTACCAATTGTTATTGAACTTAAACATTTATTAGAAAAGAAGAGATCCAAGCATTTGAAATTGGTAATGGTATATCTCAAAGAGTTACTTAAAGACTACAAAAAAGAAATGACAGAATACCTTTCAAACAATCGTCAACTAGAGAAAGAAATTGAATTTGATATGAGAAATCTTAACAATCAAAATAGAAAACCACAATTTCAATCACCTTCTAAATTACCAGTTAGAACTCCGGCTAAACGTTTATCTATTATACCAAATCAAAACTCACCATCTGTAAATAATACTAACCTCCAAACACCCGCCAAAATCGATAAAACCAATTTCGCAGTTCCACCAAGCAGAGTTAAATTACCTGGCTCAGCAGTTCGTACACCAATTTCAAAACCATTCGCCCAAGGTCTTAGACTTTCTTTCACTCCATCCAAAACCCCATTAACTGGTCAATCATCTCTTACCTCTCAATTTTTAAATGAATCAAATAATATGAATAGTGGTGGCAGTGCAAATAAAATTCCAATGAATAGTTTATTTAACCAACCTCAAACACCAAAATCAATTTTAAAACCATCAATGAGACACAGTATTGGTGGTATACCATTATCATCATTATCATCATCAGCTATTTCACCCTCACCATATAAATCAAATAATAATAATAACAATAACTCTAATAATACTACACCACCATCAACAACTCCAATTAAAATGGCACCACTTGGAAAAAATATAGTTTTACCAAATATTGAAACCACACCCAGCAAATGGAATATTAAAAGTGATATTATTGACGAAAAATCAAGTGATAAGATTATAGATAGTGATAATGAAGAGGAAGATAAAGAAAACATTGAAGAGAATATAACCATTAAATCAAAAAGAGGAAGACCATCAAGAAAACAAAACCTTATCGATAATGACGATGAAACACCAAAAGAAGAGGAGCCATCAAAAGTATCTAAATCTAGGGGTAGAATATCCAAAAAACAAAACATTGAAAATAGTGATAGTGAACAGAAAGAGGAAGAACAAGAGGAAGAAACCCCAAAGGTATCTAAATCTAGAGGCAAATCATCAAAATCAACTGTAAATAAATCAAATACAACACCAGCATCAACATCAACCAGTAGATCGACTAGAAATAGAAAACCAATTTTTAATTTAGAACCAATCGAAAATAATAATAGTAATGACGATGAAAACTCTGACTTTGATGAAAAAATTAAACAATCCAAAAAAAGAACAAAAACCTCAAATGTAAATACTGGCACAACTACAACCACAAGAGGCAGAAAAAAAAATAAATAAATAATTTATAAAATAAATATTAAAATAAATTTATAATCAACTTTTAATTGATTTATAATATTATTGTTAAAAAAAAAAAAAAAAATTGTGATTTTGAATTATTTGATCAAAACAATAAATAAATTAAAAAAAAAAAAAAAAAAAATAATAATTATTATTTAATAATCAAAATTAAAATTTTTTCTTTTTTTTTTTTTTCATATTTTTTATAATTAATTATTATTTGATCGTCTCATTTTTTATTTTAAAAATGCTTTAAGACTAAAACTTTTGGAACACCGACGTGGGCTGTTTTGATATAAAACATCCTTTTTTTTTTTTAAAGTTGTAAAAAAAAAAGAAAAAAAAATAAAATTTAAATGAAAAAAAACAAAAAAATTAATTTTAATTTTTTTTTTTTTTTTAATTTATTTTTTATTTTAATAATTTTTTTTAATTGTTTTTTTTATAATTTTTTTTTTTTTTTTGTGTGATAATATTTATATATTTGTTATATAATTATTTATATATTAATTAGTAGACAATTGCAGATAATAATTACCTAATAATAATAATTTTTTTCAAAAACTATAATTTTTTTTAATAATAAGATTTTTTTTATTTTTTTATTTTTTTTAAAACATTTTCTTGTTTCTTTTTTTTTTTTTCAATACAAAATTTTTTTTTTCTTACTTTGTTTAAGTATAAACAATTGTAAAGTACAATAGTGCTTTAAATAAATATATTTTTGTGATATTTTTTTATACAATAATAATTATATTTTTTAAATAATTAAAAAATTCTTAACGCTTTTTTTTTTTTTCTTTATATAAACTATAAAAAAAAAAGAAAAAAAAAAAAACAAAAATAGAATTTTAATATATAAAATTTATGGGAAATAACAGCAGTAAAAGAAGTGGAGATAACAGCGATACCAGATACATACCAAGCGGTTTATATAAAGATTGCGAATGGGATAGCAAAGTTATAAAAAAATTAATTGCGGAAAAAAAGATAGCACCTTTAACACAAGGTGCAGAAGACGAGGGACCAAATTTAGAAGAGTGTCCTATTTGTTTATTGGTATGTATAGATAGAAATGGAAAGAATTATAATAGCAATATATCATGTGATTAATATTAATATTTATAACTCTTTAGTTTTATAGTGGTGGTTTAAATAGATCTAAATGTTGTAAAAAAGGAATTTGTACAGAATGTTATCTTCAAATTAAAAAGCCAGGTAGTGATGCCAATAGTATTTCATGTCCATTTTGTAATCAATTAGGATATCAAGTATTATTTACGGGACCATTATCAAGGGAGGAAATTATAAGGGATGAAATTGAACAAGCTAAAGTTGTAGAGTTGACGATTAAAATGAGAAAAGAAGAAATGGAGAAGAACAATGACCCTAATATTAACATAAATAACCCCAGCAATCCTGGTAGCTTTAGTAATTATTCGACTTCAAGATCACCAACCCAACATTGTATTCCCAACTCACCACCTAAACAACTCTCGTCAAAAGAAATATCAGAGTTATCAATGTCTCCATACTCTAACCCAATTAAAATTCAAACCACTACCAACACCACCACATCACCTTCCTCAAGAGTTATTAACAATAATCATCATGGTGGCACTAATCCAAGCAGCTATAGTTCAAACAATGGGGCCAATAGACACTCTCAACAGGCAGCTTTATCTTTTACCGATCTTTTCTCTGGTAACTATAGCGAAAATGAACTCGAAAATTTAATGCTCACTGAAGCCATTAGACTTTCTTTAATTACTCACAACAATGAAGTTAAAAAGAATACCACTGGCAATAATACTTCAAGTAGAAAGAACTCCCACAATCAAAGCCATTCTCACCGTAACAATAGCAACACATCATCATCTGCCTCATCTCGTCATAATAGTGTTAGCAGTTCAAATATCTTTAATAATTTTACGTCAACCTCACCAAGCTCAATTGATGATATAATTAAAAATACTGATGAACTTTTAAATAGAGAACAAACCAATACTTTAAAAAAATCACCAAGTAATAATAGTAACAACAACAGCAACAGCAACAACAATACCATTTTTAAAAGCTCACTCTTTTGCGATTTAGACGATCAGAAAAGTTTAAATGAATCCTTTGATTTTGGTATTAAAACCTCACCATCTGGTAGTGGCTCTGGTAGAAACCTTCTTTCAAAGCATCATACCACCACAACAACTACAACAACTACTACAACTACAACAACTACAACAACATCTCCAAACTTATTAGGTTTAGATCCCCTTTCAGCCATGTTACAACAAGTAGATAAAGAAAAACAACCCCAGCAACAACCCTCAAACCAAAATCACATAAAAAACAAAATTGAAAACTATGAAGATAAACAACCTCTGGATGAAAATAGTGGCAACAAAACAACTACAACAAACACATCTACAAATAACAATAATAAACTAGCAAATAATAGCAACAATAAAACCCCAAATATGATTACAGATTCTGAAAGTGAAAAAAACTGTTATTCAAACTGTGCAACAGTATCAACATCGGTTGTAGATGATATTCATAGCAACTTAGATGTTGAACTTAGAAGTGAAGGCTCAGTTTTTAGTAGAGAAGGTGAATATGAATATGAGGATGAATCCATCGATGCAATTTCACCATCACCTTTCCTTGATCAAGAGTCCACAACCAGCAAAGTTAGTAACGCCAGTGGCAAAAATTTTTTATCCCATTCAAGACACTCCTCCCATTCATCATGCAATAGTTCAACAAGTAGCGGCTTTGACTTCAACTCATTTAAAGACATTATGAATACCACATCCACCAATAGCAATAGTCTTGGTAGTGGCAGCAATATTAAACAACATCATAGAAACAAATCAAATCAAAGACCAAACTCTGTTGGTAAACCAATAACCACCTCCTCAAGTACCAATCCACCTAGCCCAATTTGTAGTAATAGTAATTTAAAATCATCAAGTGGAGTAAAAAAATCAAATGATAACATTGTAATCAATACTTCTGGTGGTGCAATTATAATAAATAACAATATAAATATAAAAATTAATAATAACAAAACTATTATTATAAATAACATTACTAATAATAATAATAACAATATTAGTAATAATCTTTCTCAACAACCTCAATTAACTCTAGATAACTCTGTAAATACTTTAATTGGAGATAATAATGTAAATAATAATGATAATGATAACCAAACTTTGGCCCTATCACCACCAAATAACAATAACAATAACAATAATAATGATGATAATTATAATGATAATAATAGTAATAATGACAACAATGATAATAATAACAATAATAATGAAAAAGTAAAAGGGATTTTGGATGCAATTGGAAAAAACTTTTTCTCTAATAATGAAATTGACAACCAAAATGATGAAAATCAAAATGAAAAGGCAGATAATTCCTCATCCTCTTCATCATCATCATCATCATCAACCACCACTACAACAACAACCACCACAACAACCACAACAATTTCAAAAGGTCTTTCAATAGCTGGTGATTGGTAAATAATGTGACAATGTATATAATAACAAACCATCCATAGAATAATATAAAAAATAGATATATAATATTAACTAAAAAAAAATAAAAATAAATAAATGATATATTATATAGTAATTAATTTTTATATATACATATATTTTTAATTTTAAAAAAAAATAAATAAAAAAACCATTCTATAAAAACCATTCTATATATACCCATTATTTTAACTTTTATTAATCTCCACAAAAACAAACATAATTTAATTTAATTAAAATTTTTGCTATGATTTACATAAGTGATTTGGTATGATTTTTTTTTATTTTCTTTATTTATAAATATTATATTTATCTATTTTTTTTTATATTTTATTTTTAATATTCAGTATTTTCTGCTGGTTGTGGTAATTTTTTATTTGAACCTGTTGTCATTTCTTTTCTGAGGGCTGTTAAAATATCTTCAATTTTAGTATTTGAGTTCCAATTGCCTAATAATGGGAATAATCTTGGTTCGACAACACCATTTTGTTGATTAACGCATGTCATATTGACTTTAGTACTAAATTTAACAGTTGGGGCTTTTTGTGGGTAATTTTCATCACAACGAAGTTTTAAACTATAAAATCTTTCACTAAAAGCAGTCTAATAAATTGATTATTTAAATGGTTCAATTAATAATGTTATTATTTATTGATGAAAGTTGTTGATAGTTGTTTTTGTTGTTTTTATTGTTTTTGTTGTTAAAATTTTAGTAATATTTGAATGAAATAATAGTTTGATATTTTTATTTGTAAAATTTTGGTTTGTAAATAATAAAAATATATTAGTATGTGTATAGAGTTTGATTTGTGATATTTCATAAGATATATACATCTCTTGGACCAATAATACTACCAATCCATTCACTTAAATAAGTGTCATCTGGGTGTTCGAGACCATAACTTACTGTACCATCACCACCTTGCTTTTCTGCTTTTTCTAATTCTTCTAATAATCTAAAATTACGTGGAACTGATGCCATTTTATTAAACTTTTATATATATATATATTATAGAGATATCGATTAAATGTTTTTTTAAAAAAAAATTATTTTAATTTATTATTATTATTATACAAAATTATTAGTGTTATATATCAATTTGTGATAAAAAAAAAAAATTTTAATTTTAAAAAAAAAATTTTAAAAAAAAAAAAAAAAAAATTTTATAAAAAAAAATTAATAAAAATTTAAAGAAAAACTGGAATTAGGCAAAGTATATATTAAAAAAAAAAAAATAAAAGAAAGAAATAAAATATTGTTTATTTGAAATAATTTTTTTTTTTTTTAATCCATTGTTATTTTAAACACAAAATAAAAATATATAATTACATTAAATAAATAAAAATACAAAAATACAAAAAAAAATAAAAAATAAAAAATTTAATTTCCGAAATAAAAAAAAAATTAAAATTTATACCAAAATAATAATAATACTCATAATTTAAATTTATATTGTTTAAATGTTTATATAATTATAATTAAAATGTAAAAATGATTGAAAAAATAAATTTCCTAATTTACTAACTTCAATAGTGCAATAATGATGAAATTAGAGAAAAAATAAAAAAAATTTTAATTTTTTTTATTTTTTTTATTTTTTATTTTTTTTACAAAATTTTAATTTTTTAAAATTTTTTTTTTTTTTCATTTCATTATTTTATTATTTTATTTTAATAAAACATTAATTTTATTTATAAAAAAATGAATATGAACAGATATTTAGTTCGTAATTTCTCATCTGCCTCAAACCTTTTTGTTAATGCCAAAGGTAAACAACCAGTCAGAATTGCTGTTACTGGTGCTAGTGGTCAAATTGGTTATCAATTATTATTCAGAATTGCCAGTGGTAGTATGTTAGGTCCAGATCAACCAGTCATTCTTCAATGTTTAGAATTACCACAAGCCATGAACGCTCTTAAAGGTGTTTCAATGGAATTAGACGATTGTGCCTTCCCATTATTAAAAGGTATCGTTCAAACTGACGACCCAAATCGTGCTTTTGCCGGTGCTGATTACGCTTTATTAGTCGGTGCTAGACCAAGATCAAAGGGTATGGAACGTGGTGATTTATTAAAAGCCAACGCTGAAATTTTCTCTGTTCAAGGTAAAGCCTTAGATAAAAACGCCAACAAAGATACCTTAAGAGTTTTAGTTGTCGGTAATCCAGCCAACACCAACGCTTTAATTGCTGCCCGTAATGCTCCATCCATCGATCCAAAACGTTTCTCTGCTATGACTCGTTTAGATCACAACAGAGGCTTAGCTCAATTAGCCGAAAAGACTGGTTCATCCGTCACCGATATCGAAAAATTCTGTATTTGGGGTAATCACTCTGCCACCCAATACCCAGATATTAACTTTGGTTCAATCAATGGTAAATCATTAACCTCAATCATCAATGATGATGAATGGGTTAAAAAGAATTTCATCCCAACCGTTCAACAAAGAGGTGCCGCTATTATTGCTGCTCGTGGTCTTTCATCAGCCGCTTCAGCTGCCTCAGCTGCCATCGATCACATGAGAGATTGGACCTATGGTACCAACGGTCAATGGACTTCAATGGCCATCTACTCTGAAGGTGAATATGGTGCTGATAAAGGTTTATACTTCTCATACCCAGTTATTGTTTCACCAAATGGTAAATACGAAATCGTTAAAGGTCTTCAATTAGATCAATTCTCAAAAGAAAGATTCGAAAAAACTCGTGCTGAATTAGTCGAAGAAATGACTGCCATCAAAGAATTATTACCATAAACTATAAAATATATCTAATCAAAATCATTTAAAAATAATAATAATAATAATTTTTTTGTTAAAATAAAAAAAAAATTTGTAAAAAAAAACAAAACAGTATCACAATAATGTTTACCAATTATTTGTATTTAAAAATCGTCATATTAATGATTATATAAAACTTGATTCTTTTGTTACAATTTATTTAGAAAAAAAGGAATTTACATATATTTTTTTATTTAATTATTTTATTCCATAATCCAACCATGTGAAACAAGTAATGATTGACCAGTTAAACATTTATTTGGAATAGCAGAAAAGTTAACAGCAACTTCGGCAACATCTTCAACGGTTGTAAATTCGCCATCAACAGTGTGTTTTAATAAAATATCTTTGGCAACAGATTCTTCGGACATGTTGAATTTTCTTGCTAAATCTGGGATTTGTTTTTGGACTAATGGGGTTAAAACAAAACCTGGGCAAATTAAATTTGCACGAATATTATATTTAGCGCCTTCACGAGCAATACCACGACATAAACCTTCGAGACCATGTTTAGCAGTTACATATGGAATTTTATATTCTGATGCATATTTACTGTGAACACTACCCATGTAAAGAATGGTACCACCTCTTTTAACATCTTTTTTGAATTCTTGCATGGCATGTTTGGTACAAAGGAAAGCACCATCTAAATGAACACCCATCATCTTTCTCCAAACTGAATAGTCAAGAGTTTCAATGGATTCAATATGTTGAAGACCAGCATTTGATACAACAACATCTAATCCACCAAATGAACCAACAGTATCTTGAATACCCTTTTGAACTTGTTGTTCATCTGCAACATCGACACCTACTGAAATAGTTGATCCTGGATATAATTTATTTAATCTACTTGATTCAACATCTGCTTTGCCCTTATCTAAATCGGCAATAGCAACTTTACCACCTTCCTTTACAAATTTTTCAACAATACCTAAACCAATTCCTGATGCACCACCAGTTACAAAACAAACTTTATTTTTCATTCTATTTAATGATTCATTATTGGTGGTGGTATTTGTTGAATAACATCTAATTAAAGGTTTAATTAAATTATTATTTAAAATATTTTTATTACTTTTAATTAAAAACATTATTTATTATTTATATTTATAATGTCGATATTTTAAAATTTAATAAAATAAAAAAAAAGGTTAATGTGTGTTTAATGTGTGTGATGATTTTTAAAAAAAAAGAAGGAAAAAATTTTAATTTAAAACTCATGAAATAATTTTTTTTTTTTTTTGATTAAATTTTATTATTTTTTTTTTATTTTTTTTTTTTAAATTTTTTTAAAATTTTTTTTCATTTTTTTTATAAAAACGAAAATTATTTGTTGTTTATATTTAAAAATAAATTAATTTTGTAAATTACAATAATTCAAATAATCAATAACAAACAAAACAAACATAACAATACATATATATAGAACAAAATGTCAATGCAAAAATTTTATAAATTTTTAGAAATCCCAAAACCAAGAACATATGCAGAATTATTAAAAGCTTTTTCAATGGAAAAGATTTATTTATATGATGCCAAAAAAATTACAATTGTTTCAGTTAAAACTGGTAAAAATGTTAGTGGTGTTAGGTAAATTTCAAAATCTCAAAAGAAATCAATTAAATATCATAAATAAAATAATTTATCAAAATATGAATTTAATAGTATAGATAAATGATAATAGTATAAGTGTATACAACAATAATATTATGAATAATGTGGATCATATTGTTCATATGGGTCATATGAATCTACGACCCCCATACAATAACAATATGAATAATATGAGTAAGATGAAAAATATGAATAATATTAAAAATTAACAATAACAATAACAATAACAATAACAATAACAATAACAATAACAATAACAATAACAATAACAATAGCGATGACACTAACAATGATCATAACGATATCAATATCAATATCAATAACAACATCGATAACAATAGCAATGATAATAACAGTGACAATGATGATAAAAATATAATAATAACATTATAATAACATTATAATAACATTATAATAATATTATAATAACACTATAATAACACTATAATAACATTATAATAACATTATAATAACATTACAATAATAACTTTAATATTATTATAAACTTTAATAATTTGGGAATCTCAGATTTTTTAGATAACCTTAAATCTTTTACTAATGTATTATTTTATCATTAGAAATTTTAAATATAGATATTTAGAACCATTCCAATTTTGGAACAGTTCTCTTGTTATTGAACATATTAAACAAAATAAAGGTGAACCAAAAGTTGTTGTCGAATCACGTATGTACCAATAATAATAATTTATAAATATTAAAATAATAATTTAAAGTAATCATATTAATTTTATTTATTTTTTTTTTTTTGTTATTCTAGTCGATGGTAGTGAACACACTATTGATGCCAAATCAAAAGATTCAAAACAAATTCTTGACGAAGTTTTACAAATTACAAAAGGAAAAAAAATAGAAGTCAATATTCCAACTTTATAAAATAATAAATAATAATATCAATAATAAAAAATAAAACTAAAATTTTAAAAAAAAATTCTATTTACCATTTATTATTTTTTTTGAATTAAATTATGATAACTTTGTAATAAAAAAATAAATAATAAAAAACCCAATATGTTGGTGCAATTAATACCAAGGTGATTGGTATCTTAACTTTTCCCACACAATAAATGTCACAAGCCGTGGTGGCTTCTTTAGTGATTCTTTTTTTTTTTTTTTTTAAAAATATCAATTTTTTTTATTTTATTTTATTTTATTTTTTTTTAGGAGTTCCTATAAAACACTGGTTAAAATTTTTTGATATCATTTTATTTAAAAAAAAAGTTGTAAAATCATTAAAGGTATATTTTTTATTTATAATTATTTTTATTTATATTTATTATACATATATATTATATAGAAAAAAAAAAATGAAAAATGAAAAATAATTTCATTTTTTTCATACCCACTCTCACACAAACATAAGCATGTTTTATCTTTTATTTTTCATTAATTAGTTATCGTAAATTTTTTATATTGTTATTTTTTTCATTACCAATTTTTTTTTCGGTCATTTATTGTGTCATAAAAAAAAATAAAAAAAAAAAGAAAAAAGAAAAAAACAATAACAACGGAATTTAAACCAGCGATATCATAAACATTATTTATAAATAATTTTCATTTTATTTTATTTTATTTTTTTATTTTTTTTTTTTCAGTTGTCAAAAAAATTAAAAAAAAAAAAAGGTAAATTATTTTTTTATTTTTTAATTTATTTATTTCCCCATTTTTGTGTATGCTTTTTTATTTATAAATATATAATATTTTACATCTTCTCTTTTAGGGAATGTAGTGAAAAAATAATTAAAAATAAATAAAAATTAATTAACAAAAAAGTAAACAATCGTATAAATTGTTTTTTTTTTTTTTTTTGACCAGACTTCAACTTATTACTTTTTCTTTTGTTGTCATTTTTGCTTTTATTGTTATTTTTATCACAAGGGAGATCCATCATATTCTTTTCAATTTTGTGCATATTAAACATACAACCAAACGAAAAAAAAAAAACACACATACATACATAAATAATATAAAAACACACATTCACCACACTACCACACGCTTTCAAACTATTTAAATACTATTTGTTTTTTTTTAACACATATGTTTTAATTAAATAATAATATACACCCCAAAAACAATATATATTTAAAATTTAATAATATAATAATTAAATCTCAGAAAGAATTAAAAAAAATAAATAAATAATTTAATTAATTTTTATAAAAATAATAAAAATAAAAATATATTCAATATAAATTATAAATAATATTTGTATATAAACATAATAGTAATAATAATAATAATAGTAGTAATAGTAATAATATTAATATTAATAAAATAGTAATAATAAATAATATTTGTATATATACAATAAATTTTTTTTTTTTTTAATAAAAAAAAAAAAATACTAAAATTTTCAAATCTTTTTTTTTTTTTTATAACAATTAAATAATAAAAGATGGATACAAATAATAGTAATATTCAAAATAATAATAATAATAGTAATAATTATAATCATAATCATATTGATGGCTCACAAGATAGAAGGTTATCAATTACAGAAAATGAAAATTTAATAGATATAAACGAACCACCTCAAATACAGCAACCACCTCAGGCTTTAAATAATAGTGGTATCAATAATAGTGGTAATAATAATAATATGACTTCACCAAATATAACTTCACCAAATATATCTTCAAATATAAATTCAAATATAAATAAAAATGGATATGGATTAATACCACCACTTTCATCATCCTCATCTTCAGGTATAGGAATGTCATCATTATCTCCAATTAAAAGTGGGTTATCAACTTCAACATCATCAACATCATCATTAACTACAAGTCCAATCAATAAAAGTAGTAATGCTATAAAGAATACAACAGGGCCTCCAAATACACTTGGTGTTACAAATTCAAATGATAATTATACACCAATTCTAGTATCACCAAATCAAGCATCTTCAACACCATCCCATATAATTAAAGATATTATCAGAGAGAGCGAATTAGCAGAGGAAGAAGATTTCAAACAAATTGGATCTGCAATTTTAACTTCAAGTACCCATAATACAAATTTTGAAAATATTGATCTTGGTAAACAATCAGATTCCAGCGACACAAAGTCATTGTTAAAGAAAAATGATTTAGCATCCTCAAGTAAATCATTATTAAAACAATCATCAAATAATGTACCAAACTCTCATGGACGTTCAGGTCTTAATCGTTCGACAGCTTTAAATCGTTCAACCGCCTTAAATCGTTCAACAGCTTTAAATCGTTCATCAAGTTCAATTGCAAGTGCAGGTTTAAAGCTTAGTCAACTTTTTGTTAATCCATTATTATATAGTGTTGCATCTGAAAATCATATGATTTTAACAGTTTCATCAGAAATCAGCAGACCCCCACCAGATCTTTATGATCACCACCATCACCATGATATCGAAAACAACCTCACAGAAAAAGATGAAATTCAATTAGAAGATTATAAAAAGAATAGTAATAGTGAGCAGTTTGATGGTTTCCCAGATGGTGCAGATGAAATGGTAGATGAAGATTTAACAGATGGTGATATTCAAGTTGTTCAAGAACACACTAAAATAATGAAATTTTGGATTAAAAATCAAGGTCTTATATTATTGGTTTTAAGTGCTTTTCTATTTTCAATTATGGCTTTTATTGTTAAAAAAATTTCAACAGAATTATCATCACTCGAAATTGCATTCTTCCGTTCAGTCTATGGTCTCATCGCGTGCATATTAATTCTATATTCAATCAGAGACAATCCTTTGGGTCCAAAACAATTCCGTTTATTCTTATCTTTGCGTGGTCTTTCAGGTACCATTTCATTAGTTGCATATTTCTATACCATCAATGTTTTGCCTCTTTCCGAAGCAGTTATCATTTCATTCACAAGTCCTGTTATCACTGCCGCATTGGCAGCCGTTCTTTTAAAAGAAAAATGGGGTCCAATCGAAGCACTCTGCGCTTTCTTAAGTTTGTGTGGTGTAACAATCATTTCAAAACCATCCTTCCTTTTCCACAACCATGGTGATGGTGATACTGCTGGTAATGCCCAAAATGATCCAAGCAAGCTATTATATATTTTCATTGGTATTGGAGGCGCTTTCTTTACTGCTGTATCTTATATTGCTGTTAGAAAAGTTGGTCCAACTGTTAATCCTTTCATTTTAGTAAACTACTTTTCTGCTATTGCTGTAATCATTACATTACCATCCTCCTTTATATTCCAATTCTTCAAATGGCCATCTCTTTCAACTTGGGGTTATATTACATTAATGGGTGTTCTCGGTACCATTGCTCAAGGTGCTGTAAACAGAGGTATTCAATTAGAAAAAGCTGCAAAAGCCGCCGCTATGAATTATCTTCAAATTATTTTCACCTTTATTTGGGGAATTGCCTTTCTTGGTGAAAAGATTGATTGGATAACATTTTTAGGCGCTGGTTTAATTTTATCATGTGCTGGTATAACTGCTTTTAGAAAATAATCATTTCATTAAAAAGAAATCTATAGTTTAAAAATTTTAAAATTATAAAAACTTTAAATTAAAATTAATAAAAAAAAAAAATAATATTTATTTAAAAAAAAACATTGTTTTTATTATTTCTCTTTTTTCTAAAATATTTTTTATTTTTTACTAAAATGGTTTTTAATCAATTATCCAAATTTATTTGTATTTTTTTTCTGAATTATTTTTTTTTAATTTTTTCATTTTTTTTTTAATTTTTATAAATTTTTTTTTTTTTAAAAAACGAATTTTTTACATTTCATTTCATTTATCTATTTGTTTAAATAAAAAATGAAAAATTCTAAAGTATTTCTAAGAATTTTAAATAATACTAATAGTATCAATAATAAAGTTATTTACAATAATTTTATTTTAAAGAGTATAAATAATTTTAAAGTTAATAATATTAACAATAATGATAAATCATTTTCAATTAAATCATTATCATCACAATCTATAATATCAAATAATTACACTAATATTAAATATAATAAATCATTTTTTTCAACTCAAATAAATGAAAATAAAGATTTAAAAAAAGATACTGAAGTTAAAAAAGATACTGAAGAAGTTAAACCAGAAGAAACTAAACAAGAACAAAATGTAGAGGGTAAAAAAGAGGAAATTAAACAAGAAGAAATTAAAAAAGAGGAAACCAAACAAGAAGAAACCAAACAAGAAGAAACTAAACAAGAAGAAACTAAACAAGAAGAAAACAAACAAGAAGAAAACAATAATAATAATAATAATAACAAAGAAGAAAAACCAAAAACATTAAAGGAAAAAATTATTTCAAAAACTAAATGGACATTAATTATTGGTAGCATTGTTGGTAGTATTGGATTTTTATTTTATGAATCATATTTAAGAAATACATTACCATATAGAATGACAATGAATTATCTTGATAAAGATGATGTAGTTTTAAAAAATTTTGGTGGTCACATTACTGGTATCAAGTGGTATAAATGTTTTACTAATCCAATTTTTGGATGGGTTCAAAATGAAGAAGGTGGTATGGCATCTTGGACATATTTAAGAATTCCAATTACACGTTATGTTGCTCCACCACTTCCAAAATCAAAAGAAGGTGAACCAGAAATTATCCCAATTTCATTACCAGAAGATGCAATTTTCAAGGGTCATGATAGAGGAGCTCAAGTTGGTATTGTTTATGTTAAAATGGTTAAAAGATCACCAAACTTTTATGATTGGGTTTTCGAAGATCTTCAAGTACATTGTGACAATAATCAAATTATTAAAGTAGTAGATTCCGAAAAAAATAAAATTATAATCGATTATAAAAGAAGAAAATAAAAATAAAAATAAAGTTATTTAAATTGGGATTTTTATATATTTATAAAAATTTAAAAAATAAAAATAATTATTGTTGTCTTTTTTTTTATTTATTTTTATTTTTAAATTAGTTTATTTAATCAGATTGACCATGTTGTTGAGCTAACCACATTGATCTATATCTTCCGTCGAGTTCTAATAATTGTTGATGATTACCACGTTCTAAAATTTTACCGCCTGGACCTAAAACAATAATTTCATCGGCATCGACAATTGTTGATAATCTATGAGCAATCATCAAAGTAGTTCTATTTTTGAATAATTCTTTTAATGATTCCATAATTAACTTTTCTTTTTCGGTATCTAAAGCAGAGGTAGCTTCATCATAGAAAACAATTGGTGAATTTTTTAAGATTGCACGAGCAATTGAAACTCTTTGACGTTCACCACCACTTAATTTTAATCCTCTAGCGCCAGTAATTGTATCGTATCCTTTTTCCATTTTCATGATTACTTCATGAATATGAGCGGCTTTGGCAGCTTCGATAACCTCCTCTCTGGTGGCTTCTGGTCTACCATAGGCAATATTGTAGTAAATATCTTCGTTGAATAATACTGATTCTTGTGGAACAACACTAATATTTTTTCTTAAACTTTCTAATTGAACATTTCTTACATCTTGACCATCAATTTCGATTGAACCTGTAGATACATCATAAAATCTGTATAAAAGTTTTAAAATGGTACTCTTACCACTACCGCTGCTACCTACAAGTGCTACTCTTTTGCCACCCTCAACTTCAAATGAAACATTATTTAATACCATGTTTTGACCTTCACCATATTGGAATGAAATATTTTTAAATACAATTGTACCATTATTAAATTGTAATGGTTTAGCATCTTCTTTATCCTATTGTATAAAGAAAAAATTATTATTAGTATGATTATAGATATTTTAGAATCTATAGTTTTAATAGATTTACCTTAATGGTTGGTTTTAAATTTAATAATGAAAATAAATGATCCATGTCAATTAAAGATTGTTTAATTTCTCTATAAACTGTACCTAAAAAGTTTAATGGTAAGGAAATTTGGAATAATAAACCATTTACTAAAACTAAATCACCGACGGTTAATTTACCATCAACTACACCTTGACTTGCCATGATCATAATTGCGGCCATTGAAAGAGAAAAGATGAAGGATTGACCAAAATTCAAGAATGATAAACTGCTTGTGGTTTGTAAAGAGGCTTTGTCGTATTCTTTTAAATATTTGTGATAACGTTCTACTTCCAAAGCTTCATTATTGAAATATTTAACAGTTTCAAAATTTACCAATGAATCCATCATTTTGTTGTTTGCTTCATTATCCATTGAATTCATTTTGACTCTGAATTTGGTTCTCCATTGAGTGACACGGACAGTGAAAATTGTGTATGCAATGATGGTTGCAATACTAAGCGCAGAGAATTCCCAACCTAATGAATGGTACATTACGTAGCTTACTAAACCAATTTCAAAAGCAGTTGGTACGACGTGGAATAACAATGAATTTAATAAGAAATTGATACCTCTTGAACCACGATCTATAATACGACTGAGTGAACCAGTTTGATTTGATAAATGAAAAGTTAAGTCCAAGTCATGCAGTCTTTTGAAAGTTGTAGTTGATACATCTCTAATTGCGTCATGTGCAACCTTGGCGAAAACAGTTTGTCTAAGTTCTTGAAAACCTGCAGAAACAATTCTAACGGCTCCATATACCATGAGAAGACCCAATGGCAATGTTATAATTTCTGGTTGTGTTAAAGTTAGTTTATCTACAATATCCTTAAATAAAAATGGTACTTGTACTGAAAGAATTTTAGCACCAAACAATAATACTACGGATGTTATAATTCTAATCTTTGAATCTTTATTATCCTTTGGCCATAAATATTTAAATACAGTTGTCAACATTGACAATGTTGAATTTTTGGTTTCTTTTTCAATTTTTTTAATTGCTTTATCATTTTCAGTTGGTTTTATAGTAGAATTAGAGTTTGGAGATGGAGATGAAGATGGAGATGGAGAAGAGGGAGAAGATGATGAAAAGTATCTAAAAATAGAAGATGATGGCGATAAAGAGGAGGATGGAGAATTTGAAGAGGATAATAGGGCAGAGGAAAAAGATAAAGTGGTTTTTGATAATATTCTATTATTATTTAGTTTATTATTTTCATTAGAATTAAAATTATTAATTTTTTTATTAATTTGGTTATGAACTGAATTCAGTGTTGAAAAACCCCTATTGCTTTTAGATAGGGATTGGTATAACCCAATCCTATACATGGTTTATTTTAATTAAATATTTAGTTTTTTTTTTCAAATATACATAAGTATATTTATTTGATAATGAAAAATAATTTTTGAAAAAAATAAAAAAAATAAAATAATTTAAAATAAATAAAAAAATTAATAAAATTAAAAAAAAAAAATAATTTTAAAAAATCTTTTGTTTACAAAAAAAAAAAAAAAAAAAAAAAAAAAAAACTAATTAATTTGATCATCAAATTATGTTTGCATATTCTAGAATGAAATTAAAGTTTTAATTAGTATATTATAATGGTAATTATTACAATAATTTATTAAATAATTTGTTTTAAATACAAAAAAAAAAAAGAAGATATTTTGCCTATAATTTTAATTCAATCCTTTTAAAGGAATCTAATTAATTTATTAATGGTATTATTTATTATAGAGTTAGGAATTTTGAAAATTAAATAGGTTTTTAAAATACTAAAAACAAAAAATTAATAAAAAAAGTAATATAACAATATTAAGCTTTTTTTTTTTTTTTTTTAAAATATCATAAAATTTTTTTTTTCATTAATTTTTTTTTTTTTTTTTTTTTTTTTTGCATTATATTAAATTTTTCAAATATAATAATGGGATATATAAATAATAACAAAGAGTTTATACTCAATAATAGAGATAGGCTATTCCCAAATATAGAAAAGTCATCATCAATATTATTAAGCATATTTTTATCAATATTTTTTGTAGTTGTATTATACTTTAGGAATGTAGTAACTAATAGAAATGATCCAATAGTTATTAAAAAAAGATTAAGAAGGGTTTTATTTTCAACTATATTTTCATTAGTAGTTTTATATTTATTAATACCAAATTCAAATAATGTAATTTATCATAGTCACAATCATAATAATCATGATCATAATCGTAGTCATAATCATTCATAATATAACCATAATCATAATCAAATAGTTAAATTATAACCATAGTTATAATCATAGCCATTATAACATATTATTTTTTTCCCCCTTACTAATTTTTATTATTTTTTAGAAATTTACAATATTTTTAGAAATTATTGGTATACCACTTAATTTTAGAGATTTAATAAATTCATTTGGACCATTGTTTTTAACAATAATATTATTTTTTGGACCAGTTGTAATGGCATTAACTGATGAAGATGATGATACTTTTAAAATTTATTTTAATTTTGAAAGTTTAAGAGATTATATAGTTGTATGTATTTATTTTATAACTGTACTTTAAAATTTGTTAAAATAGTAAACTAATTCATAATATTCAGGGACCATTAGTAGAAGAAGTTGTATTTAGATCAGTTATATGTCCAATTTTATTTTTTGCAGGTTTTAAAATTAGACCAATTATAATTTTATCACCATTTTTATTTGGATTTGCACATATGCACCATATGTTCCCATTAAATAATAAGAAATTATTAGTTACACTAATCAAAACCATTATTCAAATTTGTTTCACAAGTTTATTTGGTATGTTTTCTGCATTTTTATTCTTTAGAACTGGCAATATCCTCAGTTGTTTCATTGTACATGCATTCTGTAATATTATGGGTTTACCAAACTTTGGTGGTATTTCATATCATAAATATAAACAAGGTAAATATTTATAAAATAATAGAATAATAAAATATAAAAAACTAATAGTTTTCTTTTTTTTTAAAAAATAGTCATTGGAATTTGTTTTATTATAGGTTTATTAGGTTTTGCAGTTTTAGTATTACCATTAACAAACCCTGAATACTATGAATCACTTTATAATGTCATAGAACCATGGTAAAATAATAAAAAATAAAATAAATAATAAATAATAAAAATAAAGTTATAAAACTAAAAATTATAATCTACTTTTTAAAAATACAAATTTTATTTATTTTTTTATTTTATCCTTTTTATCTTTTTTAAAAATATCTAATTCTATCATAAATTTGTTGATATTTAAAATGATTTTCATCATAAACTTTGGAAACTATTTCTAATGCTTCTTTAAAGTAATCTAAAGATTTTGAATGACTGCCAAATTGAAATTCGAATTCTGCTTTAGTAACTAAAAGATCTGCAATTTCTGGGTGAATATGGGTACCAAACTCTGTAGTTAAAATAGTTTGGCTTGATTCAAATAGTTGACGAACAGTTTCCATTTCTTCAAGATTGTTGGAGAATTGACGTGGATCTGGTAATGCTTTGGCTTTTGCAATCATTGCTTCGGCTAATGAATTTTTGAAAATTCCAACTTTAACATGCGATGAATTAAAGTGGTTTATAATAATTTCAATAGCTTGATTAATTAATTCGATTGATTTGTTATAGTTTTCTAATGATAATTGTAATAAACCCATACAATAAATAACTTCTGCATATTCTGAATGCTCTTTACCTAATGATTTTTCAATAATTTTTAATGATTTCTATAAAAAAAGAAATTTTATTAATAAATTTATAATATATCTATAAAATTATTATAGTTATTTTAACTTACATTATAATATGTGTTTGCTAATTCAACGTTATTAACTTTTCTATAAATATCTGCTAAATTATTCATATAGATACCATTTTTATAATGATCATTGCCTAATGATTTATTTATGATTATAATTGCACGTTTATATTCTCTTTCTGCTTGTTGATACTTTCCTTGCTTTTTATAAATTAAACCAATGCTATTTAAAATTTCAGCAACTTCAATGTGATCATAACCTAAATTCTCTTGAGTGATGGATAAACATTTGGTGTAATATTGCTCTGCAACTTTATAATCACCAATTTTTCTATAACAATCTGCTAAATTTAAATTGAAAAATGAAATCTTCAAGTGAGATTTTCCAAGTGATCTTTGAGCTATTACGATTGATTTTTGATATAGTTCAACTGCTTCTTTATAATTACTTTGCTTTTTCTTAATTAAACCTAAATCGTTATAAATTTCTGCGATTTCAATACTGGAGTCTTTGTTTAATTTCTTATTTAAGATTTCTAATGATTGATAATATAAATCTTGAGCTTCTTGATACTTTTCTTCTTTTCTTTTGGTATCCGCTAAATCACATAAAACCAATCCATACTCTACATGTTGTTCACCATAGTTTGATCTAATGATTTCTAAAGATTTTTGATAGTTTTCAACTGCTTTCTCGTAATCGCCATTCTTTTTATAAACCAAACCTAAATTCTTGTATAATTCAGAGAAACATGGATGATTTGGTTTTCTAAGGTTATTAAAGATCTTTAAGGTCTTGCTATAGAATTGAATAGATATATCAAACTTGCCTAGTTTTCTAAATACATCACCAATATTTAAAAACAATTCACCAAATTTGATATTGAAATATAAACCTGATTGATTATCGTTGTTGGAATTGACTACTGATGAATCACTTGATAATTCATTATTTAAACTATTAATATTGACTTCAAAATCATTATCAAAATTTAAATTAAATAATAAAACCAATAGTTTATAATTTGATACATTTAAATTTAAATAATTGACGATGATTTTTAAGGAGGCTAAATAATAATTTAATGATTTTAAATATTGAGTCTTCTTCTTTTGAATTAAACCATTTAGTTGCAAGGATTCTACACTACCAATATTTTCTTTGCCATAAAGTTGTTCAGAGATGAAGAGTAACTTTTCTGCTTGATATTCGGATCTTTCATATTTACTGGTTTTAATATTGATCAATACCAATCTCTTTAGATCATTTGCTACCATTCTGTGAGAGTCACCATAGAGTTGAATATGATATTCTTGTGATTTTTCGATAAGAGTATATGCTTCTTCGTACATTGAGAGTTGCTCAAACAATAAACCAATATTATAGGTGGTCAATGCTAATTCTTCCATAGGTGGGTGCATATTACAATACTGTACATACCTGTGGTTGTAGAGGTCGACTATTGATTTCTTATCATTGGTTTCAATGAAACTCCAATAATTGACAATGTTAATTTTGCCCAATTCTGATTTTGATAAAAGGTTTAAATTTTTAAAATCCAATAAAAATTCTTTTAACTTTGATTTATCTTTCATTTCCATTAAAATTCTTGGTAAATATTCAATTTTTCTTTTTAAGAATATCTTTTTGTATAACCAATTGTCCTTGATAGAAAGATCTTGCAATTCTTTTTCTACTTGTTCATCAGTTTTATTGAAATAGTTTACAAGCTTGGACTTTAGCTCATCGGCCTGAAGGGAAGGTTGGTTAAAGTATTTGAGATGAATTGCAATCTTTAAAAATGGTGATAAAATTGAATAGTAGTTATCTGTAGAGCCCATAGTAAAAATATGTTTAATTTGTGAAAAGAACCCATGACTTGATTTTAAACCTAAAATAGATAAGATCTCTTGTTCATACAAACCATTACCAGAAAGATAAATTAACTTTACAATATTTGCTGCTAAAGATTCTGGATAGTTTGAATCAGTTTCCCACTTACCCATCAAATAAAGATAAAATTGTAGTGGAGCTTGTGTTGATAAAAGCATAATTAACTTTTCATTAAGGGTTTTATAATCACCAATTGTAACCAACTCTCCTAATACATTGGATAAAAAGAATGGATTTTTGCAACTCTTTGAAAACTTCTTTAAAATCTCAGTTTGTACCAAATCCAACTCTTTGCTATATTGACGTAAATAAGTTTCGGCAAATAACAAAATCTCTTGTTCGCCTGCAAAGCCAGCTAATGGTTGAATTAAGTTTTCATTCTTTTCAATTGAAATATTAAAGTATTCTGAAATTTCTGTATAATTATCTAAATAACAAGAGAGTACAATTTTAACATTTTGAGGGTACTTTGATGGTAAAATTTGACTAATGATATCGGTGATTTTTTCTTTTTCATCTTGCTTTTCGATACAATCAATTGAATCGAAAATTATAATTAATTTTCTTCCATCCTTTGTTGCCATATCAAACCAATAATTAACTTCCTCTTTGAAATCCTCTGGATTTTCAGAAAGTGGTATTGGGATCCTGTAATAGTCTTTAATGATGCTAAATAATTGACGTAGTAACTCGATTCTATTTTTACTGTTTATGGTCAAACCAATAAAGAAATTGACAACTAGAGTATTACGGCTGCTAACTAGAGTAGAACTTGATAAACTTGATAACCAATTTGAAATGTAGGTTGATTTACCGAAACCGACAGCTGAAGTAATAATAAATGGCTTGGACTCATCGGCGTCACTGTTACTAATGATAAAACTATTGAGTTTATAAAATGAACTATTTTCAATATATTTTATTTTTAATAATGATTTTAAATATGATTGATTCTTTTCAAAATCAAAGAGATTTAAAGAGTTACTATTACTATTAATATTTTTAAAAAGTGGAATTTGTAATTGTGATTGTTGATAGTTATTTAAATCTGAATCAATTGATTTTATTAAATCTTTAAAAATTGATGATATCAATGAATTGATTTGATTATAATTTTTGATTTTATCATTATAATTTGATTTTAAATATGATTTTAATTGATTTAGTTTTTCTGGGTTCTCTTCAATTTTAATTGATTCTATTAATTTTGGTTGATCATTAGTTGTATTAGTTGATGATTGTTGTTGTTGTTGTTGATCTTTAAAATAAAAATGTAATGATTTTAAATCTTTATTTTTTAAAGCTTGTAATATTTCTAATTCTGTAATACTCTTGCCCTCTTTTTCTTTAATCCATGGATAGTAAATTGAAGCTAAATTGAATGACTCAGAATATTCTTCACCACTTGACCAACCATATCTGTTACCAACTAATGAAATGAAATAATTACTTGTTGATACCTCTTGAAGACATGTTGAAATGGTTGATTTTTTTATTAAATCCTTATTTTCAACTAGACCCCATCTTAAATCTACAAAGCTAAATTCAATATTTCTATCATTACAATAATTTCTAATTTCTGGTATTAAATATTTTACAATATTCTCCCTCTCTCCTTCCATATCTAAAAAAGTTGATGATATAAATAATTTTATATTTAATTTTTTTAGTTTAATATTTTCTAAACTATTTAAATAATTATTAGTTGTTGAATTATTATTATTATTATTATTATTGGATGAGGTATTGTTTGTTTGATTATTTAAATTTAAATCTTTTTTTAATATTTTAATAATATTTTCTATTGAATCCTCATTTGCATTATTATTATTATCATCGTTATTATCATTATTGTTATTGTTATTACTATTATTATTTTTTTCTCTATCATAAATTACAAATTCCTTAACTGATTCTAATGGTAGATATCTCTTTTCAATACAATGAGAAATGAATTCTATTGATAAGATTTCGATAGTTGGTATTTTAATTGCACTTTGAATTTTTGTTGAGTTCATATTCTTTTCTAACTCTTCTTTGCTAATTAATAAATATTTTACATTTTTATTAATTTGAAATGCAACATCACCACCATATGATTTGATCAATGCCTTCAACTGTGTAGTTTCACTAAAACCAAGCCCCATTATATAAAAGTTGATACCTCTAAATATTGGAATAGGTGGTAATTGGTTTTCATTTTCTCCATTTATAGATTTTTTTAATTTATTCATTATATTATTATTATTATTTAATAATTTTATTTTATAATTTTATGGTACAACAAATAAATATAAATATAATAAATGAATATGAATTAAAATTTATTTATTTTATAAGAAATAATTAATTAAAAAAAAAAAAAAAATTTGAAAAAAAAAGTTATAAAAAAAAAATTTTTTAAAAAAAAAAAATTAAAAAAAATCTATTTTTTGTGATTTTTAGAAGAATCATTGTTTGTAAAAAAAATTGTAACTATAAAAGTTCAAAGAAAATAAATAACTGTTTGACCAAAATATAATTATAATTATTTGAAAAATATTTTATAATTGGTTCTTTTTTTTTTTTTGATATAATAATATATTTTATAATATTTACTAATACAACTATATCTTTATTTCATTTAAATTAATTTTCTTGATTTTCTTGATTTTCTTGATTTTCTTGATTTTCTTCATTATCTTCAAATATATCTGATTCTTTTTCTAAAGTGATAGTTGATTGTTCTTCAATTTGTAGAGTTTTTTGTAATTCTACTTCACCATTTGTTTCTAATAATAACTGTGATGTTTCTGTTTTCTTTATGAATGATTCTTCTACAATAGTTTTACCACCTTTTTTAGCAATATTAAAACCTAGACCTCTTATATTCATGGCGGTATCAAATATATCTTTACTTGCCGAAAATGATTTATCAGTGATTGTAGCGACATGTTCACCATATTTGTGATTTAAGACATCTACAGTTGTACCAGTGGCTTCGTCATAAATTTGAGAAATGCCATCACCAACAGCACCGACTATTGAAGAAATAGATTTGAATGATTGTTTACCAAAATCTACTGCTGCATTAAAAGTTTCGTTTTCTTTTTCACCATTTTGATTTTCTGGGATGAAATACTTGACACCAGAAACAATACCATTACCAACACCTGCTACAACGGTACTAACTGAATCGATTAAAAAAAGTGAACCTTGCTTAGCGTATGGAGTAACACCCTTAATAGCATCTACACTTTTAATAACAAAAGGACTAACTGTAGCTGGCTCTTCGTTTTTATCAAGTTTAGATTTTAATAAAAATCCACCACCTCTTAATCCAATTGAAATCATTGCTGATGCTGTTAATATACCATTGACTATTGATTGGGACCCTGAATCTATACCACTTGAGGCTGATTTTATCGATGATACTACAATACTTACCTCTTTGTTATTTGGATCATTTGGATCTACAATTACTGTGGTTGATGATGTGCTTGTAGTGGTTGTAGTGGTTGTAGTGGTTGTAGTGGTTGTTTCTTGAGTGGGTGGTAATGCAACAAGATATGAAATGGATACCAAAAGTTTCTCCAAAACATCAATGTATGCTGGCGGAATATTCTCTGGCAATATTAAACCATAAAAGTAACTATCTACTTGTAGAATATAATGGCCTCTTTGATAAACCAATATACCAGTTTCAGGTGTAATGATAAATGTTTGATCTCGATCACCATCTTTTTCATTGCCTTGGATCTTCACTTTTATTAAATTTAATGAATTATCTTCTTTTAATTTTAACAATTGAAAATTACCTGTACCCAAAATTTCCTTTTCTATAACTTGATTAATATTTGGTGAAAAATTTGTTTTTTGTTGACTTGCTGCCTTATTGATATCTTCTTGCCATCTATAAACTGTGCATTGAGATAATGTAAAAATTCTTTTGACATTATTTTCTGGAATATTACTTGCTATTATTTTTCCTTTTAACTCAATGGTTTTATTTCTTTTTAAATTTGTTGAATATAAACTATTTTCAACTTCATTTTTAAAATCTAAATAATTTTCATCTTTTTTTTTTCAAAATTAAAAATTAGAAAAGTGTGTTATAGCTTTTTTATGAAATATTAGTTTAATACTTACTATTTTTAATATGATTTAAAATTGAAATTGATTTACTATAATTCTCAATAACCAAATTTAACTGTTGCTCTGCCGAGTTTATATCTATAGATTTGATGTTCTCTTTACTTGACTCTTGGACGCTATTAAATATATCGTCAGCAATACTTGTTAAACTTGAACATTCACTGAATAATTCGAATAATTCTTTATTATTTAATTCTGTCATTTTTTATTTAAAATTAATGAAACAAAATAAATTTAAATAATTTTATTAATTAAAACTAAACTAAAAAAAAAAAATTTTTATAAAATAAAATAATTACAATAATAATAATATGTATTATTAATGATATTGAAGTTGGGAATAAAGAAAAAATAAAAATAAAAAATAAAAAAAAGATATTTTTTATTATATTACTAATTATTATTAAAAATAAAAAATAAAATAAAAAATAAAATAATTAATATAAAAATAAAAAATAAAATAAAATAAAATAATATATTTTTTTTTATTTTATTTTTTTTATTTTAAAAATTTAGGAAAATTTTTTAAAATAATTTTTTTTTTTTTTTTGGTTTTTTTATTTACTTTTAGAGGGTGTATATATATATACTGATTATCTCTATTTATACTGAATTGTGTAATCTTTTTTTTTTTTCCTTATTAATCAAATTAATAAATAGAAAAATTAAAAGAAACCAGTAATTTAAATTACTGTGGTGTGTTATAATAAAAATAAAAATAAAAAATATTTATTCAACTAAAAAAATTTTAAAATAAAAAAATAAAAAAAAACGAAAAAAAAATATTTTGTTTATAATTTTTTTTTTCCATACTTAAATTTATTTATTTTTTTTTTACTTTATATGTAATTTTTTTTTAAAATTATCTATTATTGTTTTAAAACAATTAATTAGTGACTAAACACACTATTAAAAAAAAAAAAAACAATCTTTAGATTAAATAATTTTTTTTTTTTTTTTTAAAAAAAAAATTAAATCAAAATTGTTATATATTTTATAGTTTTTAGTATATAACAACAAAAAAAAAACACACACACATACACACACACATTCACACATGAGCAAGTCTATTGGCTACATAGGGAATGGAGATCCTGATGGAAACGAAGACGACAATGAGTGTAATACAAGCAGTAATAACTTTAACTATATAGAATGTAGCGATAATAGTTTCAACTATATAGAATGTAACAATAGTAATAGTAATAATAGTAATAATAGTAATAATAATAATAATAATAATAATAGTAATAAAAATAATAATTTTGAACAAGAAGAAATAGATTATAATAGAATAAAAAATATAGATTATTATACACCCAAACACTCCCAATTACAATTAAGTAGAGGTCGTCTTTACCAAGGTCATCAAAGTTTACATATTATTTATCCTAATCAAAATCTAAACCAAAGGTAAGCTTATTATTTATAAATATAATAAAAAAGTAAGATTATTTATTTATATATTTTTCTTTTCTATAGTTATGAAAGTTTAAACGATAGGTCAATTAATGATAGCAAGGAATTCGACTCAAGCTTACAATATGATGAAGATTATGATGAAGATGCAGACCATAACGATGATGAAGATTTAATGGACCAAGAAAGTATTTCTCATGAATCTTCAAATGGATTGGATGAAACGGACTTTGAAAACATTGATAAATATTTTGAAAATAATCAATATCAACAAGAGAAAGAACAACAAGAACAACAAGAACAACAACAACAACAACAACAACAAACTGTATATAATGTAGATAATAGTAATAATTGTAAAGAAAATAAACAAGAAAAAATAAATAATAACCATGATAATAGTATAGTTGAAGAAAATAAAATTATAAATAATTTTTCAAATTTATCATTATCAGTTAGTAGTGGTAGTAAAATAGATAATAATGACACAATAAGAAATAGTTTAAATATTAGTAATAATAGTGGTATTATATTTAATGGTTCAGATCCTGATAAAGATAATAGTAACAAGGATTATAATATCGATAATAATTTAATTAATAATAATAGCAATAATGATAATTTAAATGGTGCAGATCTTAATAACAATAGTAGTAATAATATATTTTTATTAAATAAAACTGTTCAATTATTTTCAAATTATGAAAATCATCAAGATGATAATCAACAAAATCAACATCAAAATCAAAATCAAAACCAAAATCAAAAATCAAATGATATTCAAAAACAAGAACAAAATCAACCATTTTTATTTTTTAATACAACTAATAATTCAAACTCAAATAATAATTTATCATCAAACTCATCAGAATTAGATTTATCAGAACAAGAATTAAATGAATTTCCAAGTTTTGATGAACCATTTGTAAAAAATTATAAGATTATAGACTTATCATTCAATAATATATCCAATATACCACTAGATTCATTTGAAAAGATATCAAAACTAGAGCAATTAATTATGTTTAATAACAACTTAACCTATATACCAACTACAATCGAAACTTTAAGAAATCTAACTATATTGGATCTATCACATAATAGATTAGAAGATACATGTAGAGAGATGGGCAACTTAAAAAGTCTTCGTGAGCTTTATTTATCAAATAATTTATTATCAAGATTTCCAACCACTGGCAATTTAATAAATTTAAAGAAATTAGTATTGGACAACAACAAGATCTCCACTATTCCACCAGAATGTGTAGAACCACTATCACAGCTTCAAACATTAGATTTATCATTCAACAAAATTGAAGGTATTGGCTCTTGTATACAAAGGTTAAAAAATTTAAAACAATTAAATCTTTCACACAACGAACTGATAGATATTCCAAACTCCCTAAGACATTTGGTAAAACTCCATAGTCTCTCTTTAGATTATAATCAAATTAGCGTATTACCAGATAAAATTGTTGCAAGTTTACCTCGTTTAGCAAAACTAACCATCTCTAATAATAAAATCAAGTCGCTCCCATATGCAATCAATAATTTAGAGTCTTTAATCGAACTCAATGCCTCAAACAACCTTATGGAGTTATTACCAGAGCCAATTTGTTATCTTGGAAATTTAAAGAAATTAAATTTAAACAATAACAACCTAAAAGAGTTACCCGAGAATATTGGTTTTCTAACAAAATTGGTAGATTTACAACTATACAACAATCAAATTACATCTTTACCCATCAGTTTTTTAAAGTGTCGTTCTATTAGAGAGATTGGTACAGATGGTAATCCATTACCATCCTATTATCATTTAGGTATTAAAGCAATCCGTTATCATATGAAAAACCCAGATGTCGATTTAGATTATTTAAATAGCAATTGTGATAGTAATACTATTTCACCACTTTTAAATTCACAAGAATCAAATTTTTCATCATCAACTCCTCCACTTTTTGATAGTAACAGTAGTCTCAACTCAACCCCCGCCACCAGTAACTATATCGATACCAACCCCAGTAACGAGTTATCAGAATCATTAAATAAAAGCTTAGATCTATTGAATGATTCTACACCACCCCTAATAAGTATAAAAAAACCTCTCAGTTCAAGCTCACCATCTTATCCATTCATAAATATTAATGATGATCAACAACAACAAACTATTTATTCTTCGAATCCAAGAAGTCATACTGAAACTGATATCAACAAGCAGAATACCCTAACCATTACAAATAATAATATTACACTGGAAAGAAGTCTTAGCACAGGTAATATACATTTGCTCAATACCTCTTCAAATTTACCTTTCAATTTAATCAAAACACCTCCAAGAATTAAGTATGCTTGGGAAATCGATTATGACGAATTAAAATTTGAATCATTAATTGGTCAAGGTGGATTCAGTAAAGTATATCATGGTCTATGGCGTTCAAAAGATGTTGCAATTAAACAAATCGAATTGCAATCAAATAAATCATTAGATGATTTCCGTAGAGAAGTTGGTATCCTTTCAAAATTAAAACCACACGATAATTTATTAGCCTACTATGGTGCTTGTAAAAGCGGAAATTATTGTTATATTATTACCGAATATTTGCCTCGTGGTTCATTACATGACTTGTTACACCGTGAAAAATTAATTAAATTAGATTTTAAACAAATTCTCAGTTTTGCAATTTGTGTAGCTTTAGGTTGTTATCATCTATCAACTTATGAACCACCAATTTACCATACAGATTTAAAAACAAAAAATTTATTAGTAACAAATAATTTAAAAATTAAAATTGCAGATTGTAAGTTATCCATTATAAAAAAAAAACATTTATAAAGTTATATTTACTAATATTATCTATTTAATTTTTTATAAAATAGTTGGATTAGCATCATTTGCAAAAAGAAAAGATTCATATGGTGTTGATCAAAGTCGTTTAGCTTATGCATATTATGCAGCACCAGAAATTTTAAATAGTAAACAATTTTCAGAAAAATCAGATGTATTCTCATTTGGTACCATTTTATGGGAATTAGTAACTAATAATATACCATTTGACGGAATGGATCCCTACGATGTTAAAGAATTATTAAAATCTGGTAAAAGATTAGAAATACCTGAAAACTGTCATGAAGTTTTTAAAACCACAATTCAAGACTGTTGGAATCAATCAGTAGAAGAAAGACCAACCTTTTTAAACATTTATCATCGTTTAGAAAATTTAATGAAATCAATCAATAGAAAAAAAACAAAGCAATAAAATAAAATAATATAAAATATAAAATAAAAATAAAATAAAATTAATAAATATAAAAATAAAAATAATAAATAATATCTATATATAATAATATTATTAATATTTAAAGTTTAATTAGAAAAAATAGGAATTTAATTTTAATAAGTTTTTTTTATAAATCATTTTTTTTTTTATTATTATTATTTTTTTGAAAATGATAAAATATAATAATTTAATCTGAAATCTTTTATTATTTGTTTACATGTATCTTTGGTTGTTAAATGTTCTTTTAGACTTGTAAAAAATAAACTATAAAACCTATCTATGAATTCATTATTTGAAAAGCAATATTTAAATAATAGCTTTTTAAAATTGAGTTCTATAAAATTATTTAAAAATATAAAAAATTGATTAAAGTCTTGATTTGGGGAGACTAAATGGTCACCAATGCATTCTACTAATGATAAATTTGATTTTTTGAGTTCTAATTGTTTAATAACTTCATTTATTTCATACTTGGTATAAAAATTAATTGGTAAAACTATTTTATTTAATATATTATTTAAATTATTTTCATCAATTAAATTATTTTGATTATTGTTGTTATTGTTATTGTTATTTATTATTAATTGGTTTTTTAATATTAATTTTATAATATTGAAAATTTTATGAAATAAAATATTATATTCACCAATAATTGTAATAATCATTGTTCCGTTTTTTTTTAATTCCTTTTCACGTAAGCTCAGTAAACCGGATAGTTGATTTATGCAATAGGTAGAGTATTCTCTTGTTTTTTGCCCCATGATGATGGAATCTTCATTTTTATAATATCTTTCATCATAAATACTATTTTGAAATAAAAATGTTGAAATTATAAAATCTACTGATTCATTACTAGTTATTTGCTTGAAATGAGATTTGTTTAGTAAACTATAATCAATGTTATTTGAAATTCTAATATAATTATTTTCATCCATTTCATTTGTAAATTGGTTGATTTCATTTAAAATTGATATATAGTTTTCATTATTAAATAATATTTTGATTTTATTATTACCCCTTAGACTATTAATTATTTTATTATTACTTTTAATTTTTAAATATTTCATTAATTTATTTATAACAATAATAGAATTTTTACCTAAATAAATAAAAACAATTTTAATTAAAATAAAAAGATTATAAAATTAATTTTTTAATAAATATTAAAATCATAAATAAAAATATAAAACTAACAATCATTAGTACCAATTTCCATAATATTGAATTCAAAATTACTATTTCTATTTTCATTATTACTTAAGTGAATTAAATATGATTGTTGAATTGACTTTAAATAAAAATAAAAATATTTTTTTATTGGTATTAAAAATATAGTATTCATTTTTTTTACAAACAAGATTTATTTATATTAATAAAATAAATATAGTAAGTTTTAAAATAATAACAATACTATTTATAATTTTAAATCATTTTTTATTTTAAATTATAACTAATTTTTAATTTAAAATAAAAAATTAATAAATTAAATTTAAAAATTAACTTTATTTATTTCAAAAGATTTATTTCTTTTTTGTTTTTATAAAAATATCTTTTACATTTAATTAAATATTTATAAAATTATAAAATGTAAATAAAAAAAGGAAATTTT